TCATCTATGATTTACCACGAGTATTTTTTTGTCCCAGTGCATCCCTAAATAAACACAAAGGTCCTGTGTGGCAGCTGAGGTGGGTGGAACAGGACAGAGGTGCAACAGCAGGTGACAAAGAAGAGAGGCTGATGTGTATCTCAGGAGATGGGCGAATGACCCAGTGGTTCATTCAGCAAAGGCTGGATTGCTCTGGTGAGCCCCTGAAACTGCTCCCCCTGACTCCAGCTGGCATTCTTTACACCAGTTATCCCACAAACTGGGCATCCCAGAGCAGCACGAGTTCCTCACTCCTGTTTGACAAAACCTCCCGCTCTTTGCACAGATGTGATGCAAATCAAGCGAACAGAAAGTGGGAAGAAAAAAGTACCAGCTGAGAGAGAAAGGAAAAGTGAAGGTCCCATATCACAACAGGCAGCTGGAATGTGCTTCGACTTCCATCCAGAGGTAGGCTCAGAAAGCCCATCCTGCCTCAAGTATTAGCCAGGAAAACTCTGCAGCAGAGGTGGGATGCTCAGCTGGAGCTGCTTTAATGGGAGCTGGCCAGGGACTTGGCACTGCTATTTGAAGCATATTAATTTTTAAATAAATTCCTTTTTAGCTACTAAGGTTTACCCCAAATGGGTGAAATAAGCCCTGTCCTCCTGATGCCTAGGGAGGCTGCCTGGAACAGAGGCTGGGCAATGTTAGAGGATAAAGCAGGGATTTATTAAAGGCCTCAAAGGATACACCTGGGCAGTGCAAGAGCCTGGCCATGGCTCCACCCAAGATGGACCCTGAGTCACAAGTTCTCACACTTTTATAAAGCCACTTTTTTAACCCCAATCTGGAAATGGACCACGCTTTTTTGGTCCGTTTCCATATTGGGGTTCATTGCCCAATTCCAGCCCCAGGTGATGCAGTCCCACCCTCCCAGGTTGCTCTCCTCCATTCCCTGCTGTTTGCACTTTTTGGGCTGAAGCTGCAGCGGTGTCCTTGGTTCTGGGCTGGAAAAGGATTGTTCTGTGTGCCTGAGCTCTGAGGAGAGCTTGCTAACATTTATATGAAGTGCAGAGTTGTACACCAATGCAGTGCAGAGTCTGGGAAATATGAAAGCTCAAACTTCAGGCATCACTCCCAGCCACGTTACTGACATTTCCTTGGGCAAGCCTCAGGGCCATTTCCCTCTGCGTGATGGCCCAGGCTGGGAGAATTTGTCCAACACCTCCCACATCCAGGACTCAGCTGAGCTTCTCTTCATTCAGCTGAGTCCTTCCTCCACAGAGCACTCAAAGAATTAATGCATTTTCCACGTGGACTGCTGAAAATCCAAGATTTTCAGGAGTCAAACCCCAGCACGTTGTGCATTGGTGGAGAACACACCCAGCAAATGTGCAACGTTGTGGTTCCACTTTCCCCACCACTCACAGGAACTCCTCCTTGGCTCTCAACTCCTCCAGCCCTGGATCATTTCTGCAGGAGTGATAAATTCATCCAACCTAGGCTACTTTTCCCTTTCTTTCAGGATACTGATATTTTTCTTGCTGGAACAGAAGAGGGCCACATCTACTGCTGCTCTTGCTCAGGCAAGGAGCAGATTCTGGGCACATACAGAGGCCATAAGGTGAGTGGCACTGTAAACAAGGACAGCAGGAACTGCTCAACTCAAAAATGTAATCTTTGCTTATATTTTATCTGCAACAAAAGATACCTAAACATCTTTTCTTATATTAGGAGTGAATTCCCATAGCATAAAGCATCATGGTCTTACAGGATTACTTTCTGTGCTGTCAGGTTTTTTTCAAGTAATTTATTAAAACTGGTACTATAAATTGTTTTAAAGCTTTAGCTCTGGCTTTATTTTAAGACAGCAATCAGAAATCTGATTGTCCGGTAGAGTTAAATAGTCTTACCTGTGGGAGGAAGGCTGGGTAGCTCTAGAAGAGATCCTGTAGCTCTGCAGCAACACCAAGTTCTGGTTTGTTTCTCTCCAAACAGGGCCCTGTGTACAAAGTTGCCTGGAATCCCTCCAGCACAGACATGTTCCTCAGCTGCTCTGCAGACTGGAGCATCCTTTTGTGGCACAGGGATTCCCACACCCCCCTTTTAACCTTCACTTCTGTCACAGCTTTTGTTCACGACATCAAGTGGGCTCCAAAATCAGCCCTCATCTTCGCAGCAGTGAATGAGAAGAGGGTGGAGATTTGGGATCTGAGTGTCAGCATGTGAGTAATGACTCTTCTCAAGGAAGAGTCTGAAATTTGATTGTCACACATTGTTACCTCATCAGTGTTTTTATCAGATCATTATTGCCCAAACCGTTGCATTTTGAAATATTTGTTGTGTAAAAGCAGATGGTGGTTACCAGAGATATGGGGTGAGAAGAGAAGGAGCTGGATGCCTCCTGGAGCTGATAAAGTGTAGAAGTGCCCTTTCTCTGCAGAAATTGTGGCAGAGTTAGAAGGAAAAATAACAAAATTGAGCTACTTTGGTAAAGATTGGATGGTCTGAAGTTGAGATGACTCAGTTACCTGTGACCTTGTCCAGCTGCTCTGGGTTTTGTGTTACTGGCATGTGTGAAGCCCTGGTGGATCCAGAGCCCTGCCACATCCTGCAAATTATTCTTCTATAAAAAAATATTAACCACCACTCTCCAGCTTAGGACAGATTTTAGTCAAGTAAGATATCTTAGTTAACAGCAGCTGGGATTTTTCTGCAGGCAGAGCCCAAACCAAGCACTGCCTCACTTCCCAATTTCTGAGATAACCTAGAACACAGAAGGTGAAATGTGCAGCCCTTCAGCTGACAAATGCATGGTACCCATTAACTCTTGGGTTGCAGCTTCGACCCCGTGCTCTCCTGTGCTGCCAGCCCTGAAGGGAACCTCAGCTCCCTGCTGTTTGCCAGGAACGCCGAGTGCCTGCTCCTGGGGGACAGCTGTGGCCAGGTGGGCGTGTGGCAGCTGCACAGCCTGCCTGTCCCCAGCACCGACCAGGTATGGCTGTGCTCACAGGGCCTGGGCTCATTCCCCAGCTGGGAAACACCCAGCTAGGCAATATTGCAATAGCTGGGATCACAATTCCAGCACTGGGTTAAATGGTGGTGGTTCCTGCTCTCCTGCTGCCACACCACTGGAAATTAATTTCCTTTACAAACAAGATAAATGTTTGCGTGCTGCCAAATAGGACAGCACAAATGCAACCCAACCTGGCCTGCCAAAAAGTGCTATTTTCCAGCATTAACAGAATTCCACAGAACAATCAGCTCTTTTTGCTCTTGTTTTCCAGGTTGGCTCCTTGTATGACATTGTTGCTCCTGCTGGAGCTGTTTAGCAGTAGCTGCTATCCCTTCTCCTTCAGGAAACACTTGTTGTAGTGTGAACATAAACTGGTTATCTTTCTTAGTCAATAAAGTTTCTCTTTGAAGCCACACTGCTTAGAAACTTTTTTTGAAAGGCCTCGATTTCCTCCTGCAAGTCCCCTCATTGCACCACCAGTGCTCATGCATGGGTGGCCTTCTCTGGAATCCTGATCATGGAAAGGTCTCCATAGTGTTTTCTCCTCGGGCCTTTATCCCTTTCTGCTTTTCCCCCAAAGTCTTTCCTCCTTGGGTTGAAAGCAAGCAGTGTTTGGCTGCCTAGGCTGGCTTTTTCGGGGGGCAGAGCAGAAGAAACAGAAAAAAATACCCAGCTGGAGGATTTCCAGGCACTTCCTACCCACAGGAAACAGGGAGCATCTCCAGAGGAGTGATTAAGCACAAGTTGTAGCCCTGCTGCCAAGCACATTACGTATGGAAAGTTGTATTTTATAGATCCAGAACATGCAGCCTCTCTCATTATCCTGACAATAAACACCCAGCACTCAAACACATCACTGAATTAAGGATCATTTGTGCTGCATTAACATCCACTTCCTTCTGTGTGCTGCACACCTGACAGGGGACATGCAAACTTCCCCCTGACATAAAATTCATCTTGGTGTGTTTCAAGGAAAGACACTCGTTAAGGTGAATCATTTGTTAATCATTATTATAAATCTGACCAAAATACACCCTGTATTTTCCATTCATGCCCATGACTGTTTGCTTACTGCTAAAAAACAAGCTTTCTGTAACACATCATAACCCACCCTGCACACAGTGAAAATCAATTACCTGGAACTTTATGGTGCTGGAAAATCCTTGTGGTGCTAGGAAGGGCTGAAGATCTCTGAAGTTCCTCATGTATTTTGTCCTTAAACATGGAATTTCTGACCGTATAACTCAGAAATTTCCTCCTAGAGGCATTTTATTGCAAGGATTTTTTATAGAAACGTAAATACACTGAAGCCAACATTAGGAACCAGTAACTCAGAACCAAGCTCTGCTCCCACAGCAGAGACTCAGCTCCAGGTGCTGCAGGATCATGTCCTGTCTCTTGGCACACTGGGAATCCTGGCTGGGATACCAACATTTGGTACAAACCTCTCTGGAGTGGATTTTCTCAGCAGTGCTTGGCACTGGCAGAGTTTCCCCACAAGCATCCACAGTTAGCAGTGACCAGGGTGGGGAATGAAGAGGTGCACGATACAGACATCATGGGGTAGAGTTCATTCCATTTTTCTTTGGGATCACCAACACAAAGGGATCCCAGTCAGGACTGGGCTCAGGCTGTGTGGGGAACACAGACACCACACCGACTGGGGGCAAATCACATCACAAACACCCTTTTGTTCTGGCAGAACACACACTAACTGCATCCACCTAAGCCATACCCCATAAACGGTCACACCTCAGGTGTTCCCAGTAAAGCAGCTATGCAGACTTCAGAAATCTTTCATACCTGACTGAGATCCCAAAGCACTTCAAACATGACCAGAAACAAGCAGTTTATTTGTTTTTAGCAAACACTGCCACCCTCAGAGCGAGCTGTTACCCAGTGGAGTGGACAGACCGTCAGTATAAATGGGAAGGCTCCAGCAGAATTCCCCACTTCATCCCTTCTGCCCTGCCCACACCCAGCTGGGAAGCACCACGTTGGCAGCATGAGGGGCACGCTGCTGGCACTGGGCTGCCTTGCTCTCCTGCTCCTGGCACGGGAAGGGAAAGGGGAAGGGAACAAGGTGAGGCTCTGCGGGAGAGACTTCATCAGAGCCGTGGTGTTCACCTGCGGCGGCTCGCGCTGGAGAAGGCACCGCGACCTGCGGGGTGAGTACAGCCACGGCACCCCGGCCTGCCCCGCCGGCTGCACCCGCATCCCGGGGATCCCAGAGGATCCCAGGGCACTGGCAGGCAGCACACCCCCTGCTCCCCTCAATCCCTGCAGCTCCAACCCCCCAGCACGGGCTGTGCTCGTGTTCCCTCTCCTCGCAGCTTGTTTGGCTCAGATTCCTGGGCTGTTTTGCTAAAGAAAAATAATTCAAGACCAAGATTTTCCAAGCTCTCCTGAGGAACAGGATCCAAGGCAAGGCTATCACTGAAAATCTCTCTGCTATCTCATTTCAGTGACAAGTTTTGCTGAAGTCAGTGCAAGTGTCTTGCTGTGGTCCTCACTTTCCCCAGTAGAAACCAGAAACCTTATAAAACTTTGTCATTAAAGCATGTTGAATATCTGCTCTCACATGCTTTTGTGTATATTTATACTTACTAGCATATTTCTTGATACTCAGAAGATTTGGATTTGATAGTCAGAAAATTCAACCATTACATGCACAGCCAGAAATCTGTACTCTGGTTAAAATAAATAGGGAACAATAAAATAACAGAGGCAGATGACAGCAACAGAGGCTTTCTGCACTTCCTACATCTGCATTTTTGGAAAATTCTCTTGTAGCAGCAGCTTTAAACAAATACAAAAGTGGTAGCATGGGCAACTCCCTCCCCAAAATCTGTTGAAGAGCCTTGCTTTTAAAAATTGAGAACTGCTACACCTTTACAGACTGCACAAGGCCCAGCTGTACTGAGGTGCTTCAACTGCAGCTGGACTGGCATTTCTGTGGAACTCCCAGAACTCTGGGGTAGCTGATGCCTTAATGCAACACCTGCAATTCAGCAACCCACCAGATCCAGCTGAACGTGCTGGGCAAGAGCCTCTGACACATCAAATCAGTTTTTCCTGGAGAAGGAAATACACAGTGTAAGCCTCAAGGCACCACAGGACTCTTCAACATAAATCCCTGAACTCCTCAGTTTTACCACATTGATCACAAACTGCTCCTCACAGTGAGGAGTCCAAGATGGGTGCCCATATCAGAGGGCAACACTCAGCTCTCTGGCTGTAGCTTGGTCTGTCTTTCTAGTAAAGATAAAAAGCATGAATTACTCATCTTTCCATGACTTTTAACTTTTAGCTTCTCATTTTCCTGTGACAGAGAGTGAAAACCCCCAGCACCTCCCGCACGAGGGTAATGCTGACTTCTCACCACACCCAGAGCCAAGGCTGGGGATCCACAGAGAAGAACCCCAGGACGTCAAACCTGAGCAAGACTTGCAAAACACCAGCAAAGTACCTGTGCTCAACAAGCGTGAGGCAGCCACGCTGCTCGCCACATCCTGCTGCAACGTGGGCTGCAGCAGGACAGAGATCAGCTCCCTGTGCTAAACGCAGCAGCTCGGTGCCACAGCTGCCAGGGATTAAAATAATCATGACATAAACCACAATCCTTTCAGTTGTGTTCTTTAATTGTAGCTTTTGGGTGTTAAATGTCACAGCGCACACCAGCAAGTGGCTTCAGGTTGTCTGCATTTCACAGTGTTTACAGTGGGTTAAACTTTTAGTCATGAGCACATGAAGTATTTCTTCCCAACTAACTACTGTTCTGGTTTCAGCTTTGCACCTAAAATGTAATAAAATAAGCAGCTTGTGATAGGTTTGTTCTCTGACTCAGGAATACCTAACAGCAGGTTTCAGCTGGGAAATAGGGGCAGCAAAAAGTCTGGTTTCAGATTCAGAGCAAGGTGAGCCAGACCCCACTTTGGTGGGAAATGGCTGCACCAAGAGAGACTTAGGACCATCAGTACCAGCCCCAAAAGTGGGCAGGCAAAACCCATGGTTTATTCCCTAATCCAAATACTTCTGGAGGAGAACAGGGAAAACATTACTTCCAGGCAATATTCTGAAAATATTTCCCCTACAGAGCAAGTTCTGAAAGCAGCAATCAGCTGCCAAACTATGTCATAGTAAGCCACTTCCCAGAGAAAACTCTGGGAAAGACCCTTATTCCACTCACCCAAAGGCTCACATTTCAAAGCAGGTGAGAGTACCTCGGTCCTTCACAGATATTTTCAACAACAGAGCCGGGAAGAGTTAGGCTGAATATTAATTTCTCTGCTGTTAAACTCAACTACCTCCCTATTCAAAATACACACCATAGACATTTGTCACGGCAAACAGCGAGGTGTTCTTGAACACATAGGAGGAAAACGTGTCACTCTCGGGGTCCCAGAGGCACCTGCTGCTGATCTGCAGGCTCTGCCCGCCCAGCTGCCCAATGTGTGCCACCACCACGATCTTGTACCTGGGCACCACCAGCGCTTTGACCCGCGCCTTAACGACCTGCGGAGAAAAACAGATTCAGTCCACACGTGTTCAAACACGGGGATGGATTTACAGCAGGGCAGGGAGGAATGGTATTGAATTGACAAGAGGGCAGGGATGGATGGGGTATTGGGAATTAGGAGTTGTTCCCTGGCAGGGTGGGCAGGCCCTGGCACAGGAATTCCCAGAGCAGCTGTGGCTGCCCCTGGATCCCTGGCAGTGCCCAAGGCCAGGCTGGACACTGGGGCTGGAGCAGCCTGGGACAGTGGGAGGTGTCCCTGAGGCTGGATGAGCTTTAAGGTCTCTCTAACCCAAACCAGCCTGTAAATCCATTAACTAACTCGTATGTGTCTGCATCCTCCTCCGAGCAACCCCTGCCGGCACCCCGCCAGCCGCCTCCAGCCTTTATCTTACACTTTTTATCGGCATTTTAGGGGGATATTTGGGGCAGCCCATAGAGGCACGAGGACAAGTGCCCCGTCCCCGTCCCACCTCGGCGATGTCCTTGGCCGCCGCCCGGCACGGCCCCGGCTCGTAGCGCCGCTCCCTCAGGGCGCTCCCCACCACATCCCTCAGGATCTCCTCCACCGCCGCCACCGGGAAGCGCCTGGCAGGCCCTGCGAGGCAAAGCTCGAGTTTATGAAGGAAAAATCGCAGTGCTGGAGGGCTTTAGAGAAGCAATGGACACCCACCCGAGCCGGGCTCGGCGGGGGATTCACCGCCCTCCATTGCCCGCAGCTGCGTGAGGGGAGGCGGCGCCGGCAGCGGGGCCCGCCCGCCGCATTCCCGTTGCCCGCCTCCACCCACCGTGTTCCCGGCCTCCATCCCTCCGTATTCCCGGCCTCCGTTCCTCCGTATTCCCGTTCCCCGCCTCCATCCCTCCGCATTCCTGTTCCCCACCTCGTCCCCTCACGTTCCCGGCCCCCGCCATTCCCACCCTCACGGCTGTGAGTTCTGCGGCTCCCCCGCCTCCCCATAGTTTCCACCGGTCTCTGCGTGTCCCCGTGGTTTCCACATATTCCTACAGTCCCTGGTGTCCCCACAGCTCCGTGTGTCCCTACAGTCCCCACGGGTTCCCATGATTCCCGCATGTCCCCATGTTTTCCACAGGTCTCCGGGTTCCTTTACAGTCCCCGGAGGTTCCCATGGCTCCCACATATCCCTACAGCTTCCACAGGTCCCTCTGTGTCCCTACAGCTTCCACAGGTCCCCATGGCTTCTCCAGGTCCTTCTGTGTCCCTACACCTTCCACAGGTCCCCATGGCTTCTCCAGGTCCTTCTGTGTCCCTACAGCTTCCACAGGTCCCCATGGCTTCTCCAGGTCCTTCTGTGTCCCTACAGCTTCCACAGGTCCCCATGGCTTCTCCAGGTCCTTCTGTGTCCCTACACCTTCCACAGGTCCCCATGGCTTCTCCAGGTCCTTCTGTGTCCCTACACCTTCCACAGGTCCCCATGGCTTCTCCAGGTCCTTCTGTGTCCCTACACCTTCCACAGGTCCCTGCATGGTCCCATAACTTCCACATATCCCCACAGCTCCCACATGTCCCCACGTAAACCTAAAGATTCCGCGTGGCCCCCATGGCCTCCAAATGTCCCCACACGTCCCCACAGCTCCTTTATGTTCTCCAGGCTCCTGAGGGGCCCTGTGACCTCCTCAGGTCCCCATGGCCCCCATGGGTTCCCACAGCCTCCCCAAATGTCCCTGTGGCCCCCTATGGCACCCATGGGTCCCTATAGCCCGCACAGATTCCCGTGATCCCTGTGGATCCTCACAGACCCCCATGTCCCCACAGCCCTGGAGTGTCCCCATGGCCTCTACAGGTCCCCCAACTCCACATCCCTCATGTCCCACAGCCCTGGAGTGTCCCCATGGCCCCCACAGGCCCCCCAACCCTGCATCCCTCATGTCCCACAGCCCTGGAGTGTCCCCATGGCCCCCACAGGCCCCCCAACCCTGCATCCCTCATGTCCCACAGCCCTGGAGTGTCCCCATGGCCCCCACAGGCCCCCCAACCCCGCATCCCTCATGTCCCACAGCCCTGGAGTGTCCCCATGGCCCCCACAGGCCCCCCAACCCTGCATCCCTCATGTCCCACAGCCCTGGAGTGTCCCCATGGCCTCCACAGGTCCCCCAATCCCGCATCCCTCATGTCCCCACAGCCCCATTCCCTCAGGCTCCATCCCTCCCCACAGTCCCTGTGGATCCTCATGTGTCCCCACATGCCATCCTCAACCTGTCCCCATGCTGGGACACTGCACGTAACTCCAGCAGCAATGATGGGTTTTGGGACAGGGACCCTTTTTTGGGCCAGCCTTCAATCCCTCTGCCCACTCCTCTGGGTGCTCCTGCACATGGAAGCAAAACTGGCTCAAAAAAAGAAATGTTTTACATTTTTTTTGTTTATTTTCAAGGAAAAAAAATAATAATCACATTTAAATTGCAACTCAGTTGGGTATTTCATGTGGTTCTTATGTATAGAATGAATAAACTTTGTTCTGACGTGGGGATTTCTTTGTCACAACGCTCTGCATGGTAAATAATTGCATATTTGAGAGTCGGTGAAATTGGTGACGGGGAGGATGGAGGAGAGACATTTATAAAAAACAGTATTTACAAAAATGATATCCACATAGTCGTACTCTAATCTATAAGGCAAGTAACATTTAAAATATGTTGTTTCATGATTATCTTCAACAAGTCAATACAACACATTCATATTACCAGTGGTCAAATACAAAGCTTCGCTGCAGTAGTCCCTGTGCAACAAACCTGTACGTCTTTTATAGGTTGTTTTTTTTTTTTCTTTTTTCTCTGAGAACAGTAGGAAAGCAGCAAAGTTTTCATCACAGACTAAGCAGTACCTAGGCCATCGTAGACTAAAGGTATAATATATCTCATTGCACGTTTAGGCAGAAAAGGCCAGCCATTCATTAACTTATTTAACTTAAATCTTAAAAATAGACCTGTGTATCTTCATCCACAAATATTTATAAACATTTTGTACACGAGGGAGTTCATTAAGTGGTCCAGGGTGATACCTGGGGATATCTGATTCACTGCAGGGGTGTCACAGTGGGGTTGTGCCACATCCTGGGCTCTCCTCCCACCAGCCCTGGGAGCGTCCTGGCATATCCCAACTCAAATCCTGGCTCAAACCATGCCACATCTCCATTTGTTTCATGTCACCCAAGCATCCAGGGGATTTCATCAACCTTGGAACGTTTGGGAGTGAAAAACCCCTTCCTGCATGGATGAGGAGCCCAACATGGCTGGACAGCACATCCACAGCGATTCCTACTGTCCCAGAAAATCTGAATTTCTGACGGATGAACAAGGCATCCCCAAAGCCTGGCTGGGATCTGGTGTGTTCCACCACATCCTGCTTGTCCCCAAGCCTTTGAAGAGCATCACCGTCAACAATTCGTGGTTCCAAGAACCACTGCCAGCAGCACCATCCCTCCTAAAGGGACAAGGGAAGCCAGGCAGGAGCAGGCCATATTCCTGCAAATCTTTTCCTTGCCTTGCAGTGAAAGAAGAATTAAAATCCTCACTGGAATAATCCTGATTATCATAAAACCTCCCTGGCTCTACACGGATTCATTTCCTTGGGAAATTGTGAGGAAAAGAGGAACAGAAGAATTCTGGCTATGAAATGAAATCTTTGAGACAGTAATTTCTAACCTGGAAAGTACAACAGGATGGCTTTACGTATTTTGGTCATGACTAGCTTCAAAATTAGGGGGTTTAACCAAGATGTTTTCACATAAAAACCACAAAAGGGTAGGGGAAAAAAGTTTGACTCTCTCTTAGGTAAATTAAAAATCTGTCACCTTTTCAGTGCACTCCAGCCATTGAAAAATGCTTCTGCTGGGAGAAAGAGGTGGTGACTCTTCTTTTAGGATGCTCCTGCTGGAGGGATCTCAGGGAGCAGCCTGGGAAGGGTGGCAGGGGGGCTCTACCTTCCCATCCCTGCTCTGCCTGGCTAAAAGGGGAGGGCATTCCAGCAGAAACTTGCAGGTTTTCCCCACTTATGTTTTAAAAAATGACAGATAAAACCTGAAAGAGCAGAGTGAAGACAAATTAATTTCACTGGAATACCGAATGCGAACAAAACCAAGAAGATATAAACAGGGCAGTAATATTTAAGAACAAATGCAGACACCAAACAAAAAGTTCATTATTTGGTGGTTTTTCCTACTATTGAAAGATTTCAGAGTTATTAAGAAATATTGTTAAGGTAGAAAACTGCTCTGAAAGGTCTCCTGTGAGGAGCACCGTGAGCTGGCTGAGAATTGTGCCTGTTTGCAACAAACAGCAAAAAGATGGTAAAAAAATTTCTTCCTGCTCCTACCACGTAAGATTCCAAGTCTGAAGGTGTCCATGGGGAAAACTCTCCTGCTCTGCCAGTGGGACCTTGACTCTGCAGGTGTGGGCTGCCAAATTCCCAGGGGAAAATTCCTTTGGGAGAGGTTACTAAGGACAGAGTCTAAAGGGAAATGTTCATGGAAGGAATGGAGCTGAAGCTTTTCTGTGCATGCATTACATGTTTATGACTGAATGCCTCCTTTATTCATCCTTCTGCTCACCCAGATGGATCCCAGTGCTGCTGAGCTCAGGGGTGCCTGGGCTGGGCAGTGCCAGAGGGCTGAACCCCCTCTCCAGCCTCAGCCTGACTTGGGAAAAGCCCTGCTGGGAAACAGAGCTGTGGTGCTTCCCTCTGGGAATGCTCCAAGGCTGGGAGTACCCAAACCAGTCTGGGATCTGTATGGAACCAAATCAGTGCCATTTCACCTCCCTGCTCTCTGTGAGGGGGCAGGCAACCCCAAACAGATGCAATCCCTGAAAATACACAGATTTTCCTACCTCAAACCCGAGGTGAAGCCTGCAGAGCTTGAATGCCCTGAGCACTACAGGTCTCTGGAGCCAGGTGCTCTCACTGAATTCTCAACAAACCCCAGGGCACTCTGAGAAAACCGTGTGCCAAAAACTGGCAAGAGCAGTGTGGAAAAACCTGTCCCAAATCGCTGCTTTTGGTCCCAGTGTCACAGGGTTTGTGCCACCTGCCAGTGCCTGGAGCTGGACTGTGTCCCTGTGGGGCTGGGAGTGCTGGCACATCCCACTTGTCCCAGAAATAGGACAAAATGTCCCAGGCTGTTCCCATGTCTCTCTCCAGGCGTGAGGGCTGCATCCCCAAAAAGTGACCTCTGTTCTGTTCACCAGCTCAAACAGGATGAGCTTGGGAGCTTTGGGTTATGGGTTTTTCTGTTTAAAAAGCACTCGAAAACCCAATGCTAATGTAAACACCTTGTCTTTCAGATGAAATATAAAGTAAAATCTCTATGTTCTGGTAATATTTACAATATAAATTCATTTTTTTTCAGGTCTATACTGTAGATCTCTTTTGGAAGGATAGGTTTGGAGCAATTGTACACACCATAAACCTGATTCTTAGGGTTTGCCCTCTATTTCTGTCAGAAAGGGGTGAGCTGCACACTTTATACAAATTACTAGTTCAGGGGGAAAATCATTCATGGAGTGGAACACTGGGGAGTGCGCTCCCAAAATCTGTAAGGATGTGGGAAGCTGCAGGAGTGAATTGTGCTTTTCCTTTCCTGCCGCTGCCTTCTGTCAACTCACACACAGCTCACCCCTCAAATCTCAGCCTGGGAGCCACCTCACACCTGAAATATCCCCACATTTCCTTCTTTTCTCTGAAGATGGGCACAGATCTCTGTTTTCCTTCATCAAACTGCTCTATAAGCAAGCACTTCCCAACATGCCCAGGCTGTTTTCCAGTGTAAATCCACCTCTCTAATCCTAGCAACACTTGGAAAACCAGCACTTTTTGTCGCCTTACACATTCCCAAAGTCCCAGCACCCCATTCATGAACGCTCCTCTGTGCATCTGTGTTTAATTTCACAAAGATTCCTTCATTTTTCTTCCCAAAATTGCCGAATTCTCCTGTTTCACAAGCCCAGCTCAGCGGCTGCAGCACCATGAATGCCACCAACGCTCTCACCGTGCTGCCAGGAGTGGCATGAGACTGAGACCCACGGGAACGAGCAGCACACAGCGGGACAGGGAAAACACAGAGGGATAAGATTTTGTCCCCCATTCCCCAGTTTAGCACTCCCATGTGTTTTGCCATCTCTACAACACAGCTGCTCCCAATGCTGGCGAGCTGGGCTCCTGCCCTGGCTGCTATCAACAGCCCCCGTGCTGCTCCTGCTCCCTGGGGAATTCTTTCCCAGTGCTTTTCCATACACATTTTCCTGCCTGAGTGCTAAAATAGAGAAGCAGGTGCTGCTGCAATTCTTTAAAGCATTTTCTAAACCCGTAGAGCTTTCAAAAATGGGTGGGAAGGGCAGAAAAAAGACAGCAAAGCAACGCAAAAACACAACCGAACGTCCAGAGGCAGCTTGGAAAACACATCCTTGAACCCAACAGTGACATTTTGTGCCAGTGCTGGGAGCTCAAAGGGACCACCCAGCCTCTTTGCTGCTTCTTTCCTCATCTGTATCCCTGCAAAATACCCGGGCACAGGGCAGGGAAGAGCTGCTGGGATCCCAGCAGGGAAACTGCAGCTGTAAGAGAACTCAGGGCTGGAAATTTGGAGTAAATACTCCTTGCAGAAGTGAGATTTCCTTCCTGGGAGACTGTCCTAGGAACCTCCACCTTTCCAAGAATATTTTTCTGGAGTTAAACCAGCTAAACCTGAAGGTTTTTATTGATTGCTGTGAGACGTACTAAGGACTGAAGGAAAATTAAATCAGCCTGTGGGCCCTACTGAACTCTCTTTTGATGAGGCACCCCCTTCATAACAGCTACCAGTATCGTATTTAAATTGTATATATTGACAAAATGCAATCTACCTCTGTAAGCATTGTGCCATTCAACAGTACTACTATTAGATTTATATACCACAGTTTAAATTACATCCATTTCATGAATGGTAAAATGCTAAAACTCAAGTGTCTAACTGCCAAAATACAGCCTTACTGGAATGAGTACAATTTACAAATACAATAATTACATTTTAAAACCATTAACAATGTTACATCTAGAAGTAAATACTGGAGGACTGGTCAAGACGGTGTTTTCCAAGGAAAAAAATGCTGAAAGTTGTCGACACTTCCAACAGAAATGTCCCGAGTGCAGGATTTAGTTCAGTTTCCTTAAACTGTAATTAAAACCCGTTCCACGCACAGCAGTCCTTGGGTATTTTCCATAGTATTTTCCATGGACTTGCATAAGCTTCCATCAGTTATCCGCCAAATATTTACCTAGAAACGGGATCAGAAATCAGCTGGGGGGAGGGAGCAGCCCTGATTCCCAGGAGTTTTTGCCCACCTCCACCAGCCCTTCCTGCCCACGGGAAAATCCTCATAATTCTCTGCAGCCACGAGGAAAAATCCTTGTTATTCTCCGCAGCAACGAGGAAAAATCCTCGTTATTCTCTGCAGCAATGAGGAAAAATCCTCATTATTTCTACAGCAATGAGGAAAAATCCTCGTTATTCTCTGCAGCAACAGGGCAAAAGCTCATCCTGGAGATGCCCTGGAGATGCCCTGGAGATTCCAGTGCTTGCCTTTCATGCAGGAGCAGGCATGAGCCATGAACCCCAAGGCTGGCAGGTGGCAGCAGGATTTATTTCCCGCAGGGGAGCTGCTGTCCCGCTGTCCCCCTGCCCGAGCTGCGGTGTGCAAACCCAGCACCAGCGCTCCCGGCATCCCGGCACGGCCAGAGGGGACCCGCGGGGAGGAGCCGCCGCTGAGGCACCCACCTGCCGCAAACCTCTTCTTGATGAGGGAGAAGCGGTAGCCGGCGCCCACCAGCTCGATGTCGCAGCTGGACAGGGTGCTGCCCTCGCTGGTGAACTGCACGGCCAGCGGGGCCGGCGAGCTCGGCCCCTCCGAGAGCTGGAACCGCGCCAGCAGCGACCCCACACCTGGACAGGGACACGGAGAGAGCCCGGTGAGCGCGGAGGGCGCTCGGGGCATCCCGGCACGGACAGGGCATGGACACGGCGCCAGCGGAGCCACGGCCCCGCGGCATCCCGGCAGGCAGAGCCAAACCCCCCATCCTCCCAGCAGGATTCGGCTTTTCACACATCCCAGCGCTAGGAACAGCTTCCCACTTGGAGAATCTCCTGTGGGAGACGACAACCTCAGCCTTGGAGTAGGGTAGAGCCGAGGACTTGGCAGCCCACCACATCCCAGCCCGGTGTGTGAATGCCCCTCGGGATGCCAAGGTGGTTGGCAAAGCAGCGCTGGTGGCACGTAGCCCTGCTTTTTGAGCTCCAAAATTAAATAGCTTTGTCCCCAGCAAGCCCCAGCAGGAACCCGAGTGTCTGGGCTCGTGTGATGGCAACCTCCATGCCTGCCTGAAGGATTCTGAGTTAATGACGTGCATATTTGCAGGATTACCTCCATTTTCTGACTTCTGGGAGATATCAGGGATCTTCCACAATATCCTTTGCTGTTCAGCATTCCTGCAAACACATGGAGAAAAGCATTTCTGTAGGAATCAAGAAATTGCTAAGGATTAATTTGAATTTTGCTGAAGACTGGTTGTGGGATGGGGAGCTACTCTGGTGCTGCTCTCTGGAGCAGCAATTCTGGGAGCTTGGATCTGGGTTTCACAGCAAGTGAAAGTTCAAGTCCTGGGCTCATGGATAGACTTGATAGTTTTAGAGTGCTTTTCCAAACAAAAGAATTGTATGATTGTTATGAGGATTGCAGGTGAGCAAGAGACATGTGCCAGTGCCTATGGCAGCGACAGCCACACATCCTTCCATGAATCCCAGACTGCTTTGGTTGGAAGGGACCTTAAAACTCATCCAGTGTCACCCCTGCCATGGCAGGGACACCTCCCACTGTCCCAGGCTGCTCCAGCCCCAGTGTCCAGCCTGGCCTTGGGCACTGCCAGGGATCCAGGAGCAGCCCCAGCTGCTCTGGGCACCTGTGCCAGGGCCTGCCTGTGCAGCCCTCTAAACCCTGGATAAAGCAGCCAAAACACAGAATAAGGGCTGATGCTCTGCTGCCTGCACATCTCCCTTCATCTCTGACCATTTTCTTGTGGGAATGGCAAGAAAAAGGGAATTGGAGTGGGGCTAAACATTTCCTCCTACAAGAGGAGGGCAGGTTTGGGTCCCCAGCGTGTCCCCAGCTCCCACCCACAGACCCTCGTGCAGCAGGATGGGGATTCCAGGCAGGGACAGGATGAGCAATGCCTACCAGACAGCAGGAGGAAGCACAGCTTGAAGTTTGGTTACTCCTCCGTCGACGGGGACGAGGAACTGGACGTTGTTTAGAGCTACAGGCGTGGTCATTGCCTCTGTATTGTATTTGTAGTCGATGCGCAGGTCAGTGCTTGCAGGGTCACACCGCCAGCTCACTGCAAGGTTTAATGGAGTAGACTGAATACCCTGGGCAGACACCTTCCAAAATGACAGAAAAAACATTTAGTTTCCATAGGGCTGAAGGGAGAAATCCCGTTTTACAGACGCGGACATCGCACTTGGAGGCAAGACCTTGAATTCCCCCTGAATTTAGTACTGGGCTTAAAGCCAGACAACCCAGTGCCACACAGAAGGGACAGTGGGACAACAAGCCCCCACCTCACATTAGCTCCACTCTGCACTAGGGAAACACCATCTTTTACATTTACCATTTTTTAGTTTACATTTGCCATTTTTTACAGCCATAATCAGCACACTTCTATTTTTTTTAATTTTTTTTTTTTTGCATAGTTTTATCTCACAAAAAAATCCCTACCTGGTATTTGAGCATATCCACATTGTAATAGGTGGCTTGAGGTTTCTGTTCCGATACCTTCTTTAGGTGAGTCATCAGATTTGGCATGTTGACCCAGAACTCCTTGGAGTTGGAGTCACTCTGCACGTTGTCACTGCACAGAGGAGAAGGAACCCTTTGGATAACCTGCCTGGGCAGGAGAGAGCTGTTCTGCACAGCACAGGGGCTGCACTCAATCCCACCTCCAGAGGAGCATTGCCTCTCTCCCACCCAGCTTGGCTTGTCCTGATCCATCTGCACTGGGATTCAGAACCCCCCAAGTCCTGGCCTGATCCCCCAGTGTGGGCAGCAGCAAAGGGGGGATTCTGCCCCTTGGTGTCTCTGCCCATGGGATAATCCTGATATCAGGATAATCCTGATGATCTATCAACCCAAACCATTCTGGGATTTCATCAAGTATTTGAGGGTTTGAGAGTTTCGCTCCCAAAACCAGCACATGCTTCCAAGGAAGATACTTCGGGCCATATACTTTCGCAAACACCCCGTGTTCCCGGAATCCCGCCTTGCCCTGGGATGCTGCTGGGGGAAGGGCTTACCAGCAGAGGAGCTGGGGGTTTGGCAGGACGTGCTCCAGCCTGTTGAAGTTGAGCACGCGGAAGGTGAGCACGGCTGGGGCGGGGTTGTTGGCAAAGTGTCGGGTGATGCCCGCCGGGAAGGACAGCACCATCTCCCCCGTGATCTTCACGATGCACCTGCAGCGCCCAGCACAGAGAGCCAGGGGGAGCAAAGGGGGCTCAAAATGCAGCAGCGAGGGAGGGCTGGCACCATGGATGGTGTGGGCACAGTCCCCCCTTCCCCACCCGACACATCTGGGGGCCTCAGAGAGAGCAGAAACAGCACAAGGGCTGACAGGGATCTTCTTAAATAAACCCTGTTTGAAGCTTCTTATTTTTGATGTCATTCAGTATTTTAGTGAAATTAATTTGTCTTCGGTCTGCCCTTTTGGGTTCTATCTATTAGAAGGCCTTAAAACACCTCCGAGTTTCTGTTGGAATGCCATCCTGTTTTGTCCAGGCACGGGAGGGAAAGGCTGCAGCCCCCCTGCTACCCTTCCTGTGCTGCTCTCTGAGATTCCTCACACAAAGTCCTCACCTCCCTTTCGCATGGCAGAAACATTTTGAAACGGGGCACCACAGCAGTGTCCTGCCCCTGGACACCCCAGGCCACATCACCTCCTGTCCTGATGCCTCAGGTTTTGGGACAAGGCATCAGTTTCTGCTGACCCAGATGAGACAGAAGCATCTGGAAACCCCTGGACCAGAACCAGAGGAAGGCCTCAATCCCCCTCCTCATCCCTGACAACACCCCCCATGGCAGGGACACCCCCGGGGGCCAGCACCTACTTGTTGGGGTCAGCCCCTTTGAAGTACGCGTTGACGGTTTCGGTGAAGGCGGCGGCCACGGGCAGGGTGTCCTGTGCCCCCATGGTCAGGGGGCTGGGGCCCCGTGACGAGCCTGCAACAGAGCACACAGCCCCCTTGGCACCCGCCGGGCACCGCGCCCCGCTGCCCGCCGCTCACCGTGCCCCCAGCCTGACTCCATGGGCACATAATCACCAAACCCCCCAGGCTTCGGATGAGGCTTTTGAAAAGTTTGGGAAATGATCTTTCCCCCCGCCCCGCTGCCAGAAGCAAGCAAAGAAAAGGATGGAGGAGGCCAGGCGGGAGCAGCATGCGGGGCTGCCACGCGGCAGGCTTTGCATGACAGTTTTTGCAGTCGCTTTTTGGGCCCCGTAAAAAGGGGCTGGGGGGGTTCATTGTGTCACCCCGGGGAGCTCGGGGTGCTGGCAGTGTCCCCCTGATGTCCCCCCATGCTGAGGGGGCTCCTGCAAGCCCCTGCACACTCTGCTCTGCTGTCCTGCCCTGTGGATGCCTGGAGCATCCTCCACGCCCCACTCACTCACGAAGCCCTCAGTGCCCGACAGGAAATCTGCAACTCATCAGAAACCTGGGAAAACAGGCACTGGCACAGCTTGTCCAGAGAAGCTGTGGCTGCCCCTGGATCCCTGGAAATGTCCAAGGCCAGCTTGGACAGGAGCCACCTGGGATAGTGGAAGCTGGAACAAGCTGAGATTTAAGGTTCCTTCCAAACAAAACCATTCTAGGATTCCATGACTGGGAAAAGGGGGAAAGCTTGCCTTGGTGTTGCTGTGCATCCTTGGACACTTGCCAGGCTCTAAAACAACTCAGCCCTGAGGATCACACACAGGTTTCCCTTTGCTGGCCAGGAATTGTTGTTTCCAAAAGACATTTGAGGATGAAATCATCACTGCAAGTGCTCCTCAGGAGCTCCAGGTGTGCTGGAAACCCTCTGTGGGTGGGACCACAAGTCCTGTGCCCACCACCAAGGGGTTGGCACAGCCAAGCCCACACCTCTTCCCCATGAGAAGTATCCAAAGATCAGCCCAGATGTCCAAGGTGTTGATCCCACAGACACCCAAAAAACCCTGGAGAGGTCACTCCCTGCCCTGGCACCACCCTTCAGCCTCATCCATTTCCCGCAATGAATCATTTTGGAACCTTTTTTTGATACCACATCCTGTACACGGGGTGAAGCACGAGGATTATTTTGCCCCAAAGCAGCTAAAAAGGAACAGCAAAGGACTCCAGAGGGACAGTTTATCCAGGGATCCCCTCAATCCATCACCATCCCTGCCCCTCAGTCCATCACCATCCTTCCCCCGGGTGGAAAGAGGGACAGATCCAGCCCAGGGTTTGCTCAGAGCAACGAGCTCCTGCCAGCCCCAGCCAAAGCTGTAGGAATTCCAAAGCCACAGGAATTCCAACACCAGCCCTGGAAATGGCAGCACTTCCACAGGCAGAGGATAAGGGGGAAGCAAAGCTGAGCAAAACGTGTCACGTTCCTGGTGAGCTCTTCTGCTTGGGCCATCCTCAGAAATGATCCCTTCCCTTCTTTCTGTGCTGCTGCCCCTGGGAATAAACAGGGGTTTGGGAGCAGGAAATTGGGATTTGCAGCATCTCCCAGGGGAAGCACTTCTGTCACTTCAATGACACTTTGAGTTTGGGTACATTAATGGGAGAAACGATGGTTTCCACCAGCGAGGAGGAATCCTCACACCTCCCCAAGGAACTCACACGTTAATGGATAAATCCTAAGTGCTCTTTCCTGGAGGCACAGATGAGGGATTTTCCCTTCCAGTGCCTAATGCAGCCTAAAAGTATAAAACACTGATGCAGCCACACGTGTCCCTCTCGGTCCCACCCCCGGAGAGGCTCAGGGGAATCCGGGATTCCAGCTGCAGCCCGGGATGGGGGTGCTCAGGGGTGGATCCCGCTGTTCCTGGAACACCTCACCCACACACAGCAGACCCACAGCCACACACACAGTCATTACCCTAACGAGCCCAGAGCCTCCTGCTCCTGAGCCCACAGCCCAGGATATCCATCAGGATTCCCTGGTGGAATTCCCACTGAAGAGCAGACACAGTTCCAGATGAGGGCATGGTCCCCAAAGCAACAGGACACCACACCCCAAAAGCCCATGACTGAGGGGGCACGCAGGACAACACATTTTCTAAAAATCCTTCCCAAAGACACCTTGGGAGAAAATCCTTGCTCCCCACCCAGAGCAACAACCCCTCAGAGCATCAAACACAGCCGATATCTTGGCAGTGGGACATTCCTACTGCATCCACCTGGAAATTCACAGAATCACTGGGTTGGAAGAGACCTCCAAGACCATGGAGTCCAACCCAGCCCCAGCACCCCAACTCAACCCTGGCCCCCAGTGCCACATCCAGGCTTTGTTAAACACACCCAGGGATGGGGACTGCAGCACCTCCCCGGGCAGCCATTCCAGAACTTTATCACCCTTTCTGGAAAATACTTTTTCCTGATATCCAACCTGAATTTCCCTTGGTGCAGCTGCAGGCTGTGTGCTCTGGTTGTGTCAGTGGTGCTGGAGAAAGAGCCCAGCCCCAGCTGAGCACAGGCACCTTTCAGGAGCTGTGCAGAGCGATGAGGGCACCCCTGAGTCTCCTTTTCTCCAGGTGAGCACCCCCAGCTCCCTCAGTGCTTCCTGACAGGGTTTGTGTTCCCAGCCTCTCTCCAGCCTCCTTGCCAGGCATGAAATGTGAGCCAGGGCTCTGCCACAGCACCACACTTTCCTCCTCCTTTTTCCTTTTCCCTCTCCCTCTCTTCTTTTCCCTCATTTCTCCTTTTCCCTCATCCCTCTGCATCTGTATCTTTGATTCTGCAGGATGAAAAATCAGGCATAACCAGGGAGATCTCCTGGATCCCCAGGCTCAGCTGGGGTGTGGGAATGTGAGTCCATCTGAGAAGCAACAACAATAAAATATCCTCATTTCTAATGGTCTGAAGATCATGTGGGTGGAATTGGGGTTCTTGGTCCCCTCCACACTTCCCTCATGAATCCATAAACCCTTCTCTTCATGGCTTCAGGGAATAAATTAATTTTTTACACTCATGTTTTCACTAAAAAAGAAAAGTATAAACTATTATAAGAATTGCAATTATTGTCCAGAAACCTGAGAGACAAATCCAGTTGCTGTGGCACAGCTCCACCCCAAACCTGCCTTTTCAGTTCCTGCTTCCAAAGTCATTTTTATAAACATTTCATTTGCACAAATTACCTGATAATAACAGAAAAAAAATAAATCTACTTTATGGAGTTTTGGATCTAACCATAAGCAGCAGACCAGCTTAATTTACTTTATTCTTCTCTACAAAAGGTGGAAAATGCAGCTGTGGAGTAGCCAGGGATTCCAGAACATGACAGCATCACCACATCTCCTTCCACACAGGGACAAACTGCCCCACGTTCATCAAGAACATGGATCTTGCCACAAAAAAAAACCAAAAACAAACCAGCAAAAAACAACCCCAAATCCAGAAAGAAACCATAATTCCCTTCTGGCATTCCATGCCCTGGGTTCCAGATGCCAAACTCAGCAGATCTCCTCTCACTTGCCTGCACATAAAATTTATCTTTTTTTTTTTTTTTTTTTCAAGTTTGGCTTAAATATTTAGAGATCAATCAGAAATCCAGCATGTGGAAGTGAGACAGCTCCTTGCTGGGCTGTGGGATGATCCTGGGGCAGTGCCACTCCTGCATTCCCAGGATAATCCCACCCCAGCTCCAGACTGTTCACACCACCAGAACCAAGCCCAGGAATTCCAGTACAAGGTTAAGATTCCAAGGCACAGGAAAAGCCCCAGATGTGCAGTGCTGGTGCTGGGCAAGGGGCAGGGAGGAAGCACAGAGCAGGGGGAATGTGGAGCTGGAATATTCCTGTGAGGGATAACGCTGTCCCTGCTGTCCTCAGCTCTTCCCAGAGCTCCCAACAAGCCCCTGAGAAAGGAAACCCAAACAGGGATTTTGGCTGGAAACAGCAAAACTGCCCTGAGCAGCAGGAGGAAGCAGCTCCTGCACGACCCCTCCTGGGTCTAATCTGGGAGATGCCATCGGAGCAGGGACACCAAAGCAGGAATTGCCAGAGTGAGGACCTTGGAAAAAGGAGGAAAGGAAGGACCCAAGCCCCAGTCACCACCCTGATCCCTGCCTTCTGCTGCTGCTCAGCCAGCACTGTCACCAGGATGGGTTTGCTCCATGATCCCAAGCAGCCCATGCCAGGCAGGGCCATCCTGGGCCACTCCCAGCCAGGCAGTGCCACCCCAGGCCCCTCCTTTGCAGGAGGGGACACTTTGGGAATCCCACATGGAGCCATCCCCCAGCTCTGCCTGCAGGCACCGCAGCAGCTCCCCAGGCGCTTCCTTGGGATCTGCGGCAATCCCTCCCTGCTGCAGGCAAACCCCTGCTTCTCCTTCTGCTGTTAAAAGGAAAATGTTGGCTCCGTGCCTGCGGTTCGAAGCTGCCCCCAAAGCCTGGGGCGTTGTCCTCTCTGGGATGTGACACTGCTCGGAGAAGGTGCCATCGGCCCCAAACCGAGGTGTTCCCCTGCCTGCATCCTCCCCAACGCCCCTCATCCACGAGGGACCCCAAAACCTCCCGCACCTCCAGCCGAGCACCCCAGCAGCACAACCTGGCACAGCCCGGGCGGTGCTGGCAGTGCCAGCGCATTCCCGGAGCCCTTCCTGCCGAAAACCGGGCCGGGAGGAGGGGAGGAGGCCGGACAGGGCTCCGGGGGGTTTGAATTCACCGCCCCCAGCCCGCTCCGGGGGCGAGGGGGAGAGCGGACAGAAGCCCTGGTGGCAGGGTCAGCTTCCTCGGCAGCGCAAGCGGCTCCGCTCCCTGGTTTTCACCTCCGTCCGGGAATATTCGGAATGCTCCTTTGGGCTTTTGGTTTGCTTGGGTCGGATTTTTTTTTCTTTCTTTTTTTTTTTTTTTTTTTTTTTTGAAAATGAAATCAACAAGGAAAAAAAAAAAGAGCTCAGAGGGACAAATGGTACAAATCAAATCAAATCAAAACGATTCCGGCCGGACTGGCGATGTCATCTAAGCAGCCATAGCATTCCGCACGGGAAGCTGGGCTGGATGGAGCCCGGGAAGATGCATTGGATGGATGGAGCCCGGGAAGCTGCATAGAATGGAGCCTCGGAAGGGAACCCCGGGAGCGAGAGAGCGAGGGGAGCGAGTGGTTACCGGCTGTGCTTTGCACTACTTACCTTCGAAAGTCAAATAAAACTTTCCTCTGTCAAACCAAACGAGGGAAGGCTGTTCATTCTCTGTATGGCCAGGAGTTGAAGCGGGATGGGAAAGGTTAAGGAGAGGGAGAGAGAAGGACACAGTGTGAGTCACAGAGCAGGTCATTAGTGTCGCTACGGGGAGGGGGCGAGGCGCTGCAGGGCGGTCACACGTGCAGGGACAGGGGCGTGACACCCGGCCGCTGGCTCGGGGGACAGAAAGCGGGAAGCAAAGCTATGGAAGCCCAGATGGAAGAGTCGTTCTGCCCGCTGGGTGAGCGGTTTGCAGGGGTGCTCTGGCTTTTTGTGGCCACGGTAGAAGAGGTTTGTCGGCTCATGCGCTCCGGGTTCCGCCTGCGCGGAGCGGGGCCGGCGCTCCTCAGCATTCCCGGCGGGATGCTGCTCCGCATGCCACCCCGCAGTGACACTCAGGGACAGTGACACGTGGCTGTTTGCTCTCGCATCTCAGGACACGACACTTGCAGAGAACCGGACACACGCACACAGAGCAGCGGATCCTAGCTGGAGCCTTCCCTTCCCATCACAGCCAGCTCCCTGCGCTCCCGCCGCCTCCAAAGGCGCCACGCTGGAATAACTCGGGATGTGAGGGCGGGACGGGGGGATGGGGCCAACAGCTTTTGGAGCTGCTAAATGAACCTTTCGGAATTCGGGAGGTGCCAACCTTCCACCTCCAAGTCCTTTGACTCACTGAGAAACTGTCATGCAAGGTGCTGCGAGCGGTGGGCGCCGCTCCGAAGGCGGAATTCTCGGAAAACTCCCTGCTAGTACAGTACCTGCCGGCGTTTCACTGCGCCCTTCAAACGCGGGCAGTTTGTCAACAAAAGCATCATCCTCTGATAACACAAGCAGAAGAAACGCAAAGGAAGGAAAGAAAGAAAAAAAGAAGAAAAAAAAAAAAGAACACAAAAAGAATGAAAACACGGATCCCAAGTGAAACCAAGCAGCGCACTTGTATCAACGCAGAGACAGAAATGACGGAGGGGCACCGACACGGGAACCACAGAGCTCCTTGCTGTGCCAGGAATTGTCCAGACTGACATGCAGCCAACGAGGAAAGCACACCAGAACAGCACGGAGGACACGGGGATGGAACAGCCCTGCCCCTGCTCCCGGACAAACTCCGTGGGACTTTGCCACAGGGCACGGGAGATGGGGAAAGTGGTGGAGCCAGACTCCAGCCCCAGCTGGATTGGGGTGTCCCAGCCCCCCAGAACCTGCAGCAGTCCCTGATCCCAGACCTGCCCATCCCTGCACACCTCCCAGGCCAGCTTGTCTTCTTTTGGGAATTGTCCCTCCTCTGCTGTGGGTTTTCATGGATGTTCACCCAGCACCAGTGCCCACCCTGGCCTTGGTGGGGACAAGGAGATGCTTTCCCAACGCAGACCCCAAACCCTGTCCGTCTGTCTCTGTGCCCCATCCAGCTTTTCCCAAGGTTTAGCTTGGATGCCAGCAGAAAAGGTTCTTCCCCGAGAGGGTGCTGGCACTGCCCAGATCCCCAGGGAATGATCCCAGCCCCGAGGCTGCCAGAGCTCCAGGAGGGTTTGGACAGCTCTGCCAGGGATGAACAGGGTGGGAATATTGGGGTCTGGGCAAGGCAGGAGATGGATCAATGATCCCTGTGGGTCCTTTCTCACTCAGCATTATCTATGCATCGAGCTGGAAGTGCAACACCTACAAAATCTGGGATGCTCCTCCTGCTGCCCTGTTTGGAGTTCCCTGGTCAGGGGTGACCCCAGAGCCCTGATTTTTGCTCTGCTCCAGGAAAGCTCCATGGAGGGTGTGGGACCCCAGCTTCTCCCCCCAGCCCAGCAACCTCATCCCCTCTCCTCAGCACAGGGAGGTCACTAAATCATCAAACAGCAGCTTTTGATCCCAAAAATATGAGAGAAAAAAAACAATCCAAACAGAGAGCCTGAGGGAGCTGGGGTGGCTCGCTCCCGTCGCCCTTCCCAGCCTCCCGCAGCCCCTGGGACTGTCCCTGTCCTCAGCCTGGCTGTCCCCTCCCCTAACGCCGTGTCCCTGTGGCCGCCGTGCCCTCAGGCACTGCTGAGGCCGCTGCCAGTGGCACAGGGGACGCTCAGGGCTCGCTGTCCTGGTGACATCTTTTCCAGCAAGGCGCTGTGACAGTGACCAACAGCCGGAACAGGCACGAGCACCTACAACACCTGTGAGGTGACAACAGGACGGAGACGCAGTCGAGACTCCAGCAAAGCCACGGGGAGGGCTCGGTGCCACCGGCACCGCGGGGACAACGCTGTCACCAGCACCTGCCGGCCACCGGGCGGGACTGGTGGCAGTGCCACCGCTCCCCGCGGTGACGAACGCTGCAGCCAGCGCGATGGCCGAGCGCACGGGAACTCCCGCCAGGCAGGGTTTTCCAGAAGGTTGGGAAGAAAAGACAAAGGAGGGAGGTGATCCTGGAGGAGATGGAGCCGCAGGAAGCGAGGGACTGGCAGCCAGGGATGGAGGAGGAGGGGCAGAGCCGGCAGCAGGGACAGAAGGGACAGGAGGGGACAGAGGGGATGGAGAGGGAGGCGTGGGGGGCCCACGCCTGGAGCTGGGAGCTGCCAGCCAGACTCGATTCCCATTCCTCATCTCAGCCCCGGGGTTTTGGCAAACCCCACTCTTCCCAGGACGGAAACTGCAGCGTTTGGTTCTGCCCTAGGACGTGCCAAGTGGCTGGAAAGAGCCACTTGCTTTTCCAAGACCCCTTTTCTGTTACTGCTTTAAGGGCAAGTGTGAATTTAAGACATTCCAAGAGATTTAATATCCCTAGATCCCAAGGTCTGGCTTCCAGCCCCACTCCCCTCCAGGCACAAGCATCCCCTGCAAAAAAAGCTTATTTTGCCCCAATTTACAGCCCAGAACCACATTTTCTGTTACAATTCCCTTGACTTTCACCAAACATCCATTTCCCACAACATTTGGAAAAACTTCCCTCGCAGCATCACCCTCCTGATCCGTCACCCCTCTCAAATCCCTTTTAGCATTTAAAACCCCGATGGAAACTAACGAATCCGACCCCAAAGAATGACCTAGTGAATGAAAAGGCATCAGGAATTTTTGGAGGGCTAGGAAAGGTGAAAGAACAGCAGCGCTGTGTGTGTTTACCAACGGTGGGAGTGGTGGCTGCACTCAGGGAATTGGTGGAAGATATGGAAGAAGTACTTTCAGCACGGGCTAAAGGTGCTATCGGAGGAGGGCTGGAGGAGTGGATGGGAGGGCTAAAAGGCCTGGACTGGAGAGAAACATAAAACAACACAAAGTTAAAAAAAATCCAAACAGAAACATTTGCATCACACAAATAAAATTTTGCCTGGACCCTCCTGACTGCTCTGCCGGTGCCCCAGAGGAAAAATTGGAATGACTTGAGTTGTTTTAGTACCAATGGCATTTTAGCTTGGAGCTGGGAAAACAGATTATCCCCACCACTGTGGGGGTGGATGTTGAGATTCCACCCATCCACACCCAGGGTGGGAGCTCCAGGGGCCGTGGGATGGATGGAATGGGCTGGGCATTGGGAAGGGAGCAGTGCCCACCAGGTGCCAGCTCCCCAGGCCCTTAGGGAGCCTTTGGGGGTCATTTTCCACCCTCAGCATCAACCCCAAAGCCCTCACGCCTTACCTGGAGCAGCCTGGGGTGGCACACGGGACAGCCCTGAGCTGGCATTGCTCCTGGGAGGCTGGAACTGCTCTGTCCCCCAACCCTTCCCACCCCAGCCCATTCCCTGCCCTTGCCCTGACTGAGCACCCTGGCTGGCATCACCAGGCTGGCAGAGCAGAGGTGGCACAGCCCTTCCCACGGGGAATCCACAGATCCTGGAAGAGCCCAGCCCACCCCGGTGACCGCGGGTGGCTCGCCCTGCTCCGCTGTCCCATTCCAGACTGGGAATGCCACCCTCCTCCCCTGGCACAGCCCTGCCGTGCCCCCAGCCCCTCCCCACGTACCACATCGCTGACGGGGGGCTTGCCCGGGGGCAGCTTGGGCCGGGACGGGGGCCGGGGCGGCGGCGGCGGGGGGGTGCCACACGTGGCCAGCGGCGTTCCGGGGCGAGCCGGGGACGAGGAACCTGCAACAAACGGAGCCGTGAGTGCCCGCAGGCTCTGCCCCCGCTGCTGCCCAGCCCAGGGCTCCCCATGATGGTGGCACAGCCAGCAGCTGTGCATGGAACGTGCCAGGAGGGCTGGTGCCCGTGGGTTCCCGGCAGGGGCTGCTCAATGCCCGCTTTCCTCTGCAAAATCGGAGTCTTACAGCTTTCCCAAAAATAGGGGCAGGAGGGATGGGGTGATGGATGAGATACTGCTCCAGGGCTGGCACAAGTGGGAGTTTGGGATCCTCATCGCAGGGCAAAGCTTTGGCCCAGCAAAGCAGGGTGGAAGAGGAAGGTTCTGGGATTTGCTGGGAGCACAACGCAGCTCCCAACCCTCTGGAAGAGGCTCCCGAAGAAGGGAGCTGAGCTCAGGGCTCACACAGAGCCTGCTGCAGAGGGGGAGCTCTGTGACCAAATGGGAATTGCAACAGGTGCCTCAGGGAGATCCTGGAGCCTGCTTTGCTCCACACACAGGAATTCCTTCCAGGAGAAGCCCAGCAAGAACTGGAGCTGTACAGAGCAGGCACAGCGGGCACCAGGACACGAAGGGCAGCAGGAATGGGAGGGAACTCAGAGCTCAGTGCCAGGACAGCTGAGCCAGTGTTTGCCACAGCTTCCACGGAGCTCAGCAGCTCCATCGCAAAGACTGATGAGATGATAAGTGAATAGTTTTCCCACTTACAAGAAAATAATTTCCTGAGTTCTTTGGGTGATAGCTCAGGTTAAGTAAAGATCAAAGTTGGATTTATAGAAACAAGAAGAGGTGAAGGAGAGCAGGCTCAGACAGAGAGGGCCTGGCATAAAGGGAGTAAATTCCAGTCATTCCTTTGCACAACTCCAAAATTCAATCCACTTTTATTTCAAAGCCTGATTTGGGAACCAAAGTTTGAATTTTTCATTCCTTATCCCAAGAAAAGCCTGAGAAAATAGGAAATACTGAGGGGAAAATAACTTTGCAGGACTGAGTGTCAGGGAGGGTTCTGTGGCCACCAGGTAGCCAAAGCCTGGCCAGATGGTGGCTTCCATGCAGGGAATGGATATTTCCTACACCAGAAACTGGCAGCATGTGAAAACCAGCATGGAATCAGAAATCTGCTGGAATGCTGGCCTTGGAGCGGGGTGGTGGAAGGGGGTTGGAACAAGACAAGCTTTGAGATCCCTTCCAACCCAGCCCTTCCATCCTGACCCTGCAGAGCCTTGGTGACACCCACGGGCTGTGAAGGCAGGAGAAGATCCTGGGGTGGCTCTGCTCCCCAGCACCCAAAAACCAGGCTTGGAAAGGTGGGAGAGGTGGGACAGGCGCTGGGTCTGTGCTGCACGCCCTGCTGCAGCTTTTGGAGGATTTGCAGCATTTCTGTGTGGCTGTGTCCACACTTCCATTTCCCAGCTTGCTGCCCGGAATGAGACAGGAGAAATTCCTGGAGCAGGGATGTGGATCTTCTGGGACAGGCTTCTCCACCCATCCACCCCCACGGGGGGAGCCTGGCACGTCTCCATCCTGTGCTCAGCTGGGAGCAGGATGGATCCTGCTGTTTCCTGCTCCTGGAAGCTCCTGGAGAAGTTCTAGCTCCTGCTGGACGCCTCAGCCCCCACAGGGACCCCGCCCACCCCCCGAGCCAGCACAGAAAAGCCACCAGCACTGAAGCAAAGCCACACCTGCAGCACCAGCCACACTCAGGGCACCCTCCTGGAGGTGACAAATCCCGGGGGCAGTGACACAAATTCCGAGCTCCCATCAGGAGGGTAGCAGGGGTCACAGAGCTGGGGGGCTGCACACCCACCCCACCACCAGTGCAGGTTCCTCAAGGCTGTGATTGCCCCAAAAATCGCCTTTGGTGGATGCAGGGTGGGAGCACAGGGTGGAGCTGGGCTCAGGCTGCAGCTCTTCAAGAAGGGAATGAGAGTAAGCCGAGCCTCCCCGCTCGTTTGCCGTAATGAACATTTATAATTAATCAGCTGAAGGCAGGCAGAGCCAGCAGCTTCTCCCGGGGGAGAGGTTCACCCCGGAACTCATCTCCCCATCCACACCCAGAGGCAGGAAGAGCCGAGCACCCTTCCCACCTGGGAATTACCGGGATGAGAGGCTGCGATCCAAACAAACACCCCAACCCCGCATCTGAGGCTCGCTCAGACCATTTACCTGAACCATTTCCATCCCCACGGAGAACACAACCACAGCAACACCAACAACAACAAGAAGCCCGTGCCCGGTTTGGGGTGGGAAGGAGCATCGGGAAAAGCTCCCAGCGCCAGGGAAGGATGGACACGGGAGGCGCAGGACACAGGCTGGCAGCGGGGCACGGCGGGACACAGCCAGGCGGGAGGGTCACCACGGCCACACGGCAGCACACCCGAGCTCACAGCACGTACCGCTGGTGCTTCCCGTGCCCGGTCCGGGGGACGAGACCACGGCGCGGTAGGTGGGCGGCGGAGGGGGCGGCGGGGTGCCCCTTTGGCCCGGCCCAAAATCTTTGGGAGAGGCGACGGGCTCGGCGGAATCATCCTTAAGGTGGGGCTGCTCGGGAAGCTTCTTGGGAGCGTCTTCCAGCTGCAGCGGCGAGGGCAGCGGGCGGGGAGGCTCGGCCGGAGCGCTGGCCGGGCTGCCCGCGGCCGCCGGTGGCGACGCCGCTTTCTCCCGGGGCGACAACTCCGGAGGCGCGTTTTCCGGGGATTGGTCGGAAAAATTGACCCACTTGTCTTCCGCGGTGGCAGCAGCAGATTTGGGGGACGGCACGGGGCCAAAAATGCTGTCCAAGTCATTGATGGACGGGAGTTTGTCCCGTTTGGGCTCTGCTGCTGCCTGGTCCCCTCCTGTGGTCAGAGGAGGTTTATTTTACACCGGGCGTTAAGCGAGGGCTGTGCTCTACGGGCTCTACTTCTACGGGAGAGGCTCTAAAATCACCTTTTCTCATCTATATTTATATAATTCATGGGCAAGAACGTTTCCACCACAGCCAGGTGTGACATGGAATGAATCCCGCGGGATCCAAAGGCCGGAGGAGGGAGCATGCACCACGAGCCAGCACTCACAGCCAAGAATCCCAAATTCCCCCTGAATTCACAGCCTTTTCTGTCTTCTAAACCACACCACGTCCTTATCAGCAACTCTGATTTATCAGCAGGTACCAAAGGTGTGCACTCAGCACTCTGGCACGCCCCACTCTCTTCTCTCTTTTATAAACACTCAGGTATAAATACATATATTTAGACATGCTGGTTGGACGCTGCTGGAGTCTGGGCATGCAGCACAGGATGCACACAGGGAGTGTATTCCAGCCACAGGGAATGCAGTCCAGACACAAGCAGGAACAGGTCAGGATTTTAGGGCACAGAAGGGGATTTCAGGGCATAGATGGGGATTTCAGGGCTCTGCTTGCTGAGCCACCACACACCAACATTCCCAGTTGACTCCAGAACCACCACAGATCCATCAGCCAAGCATTTCACATCCAGGGAAAGGAGATCATGACAATAAATGCCCTCTGGGATGCTCGTGGCAGCATCACCCCATCCCTGCTCTGTTTTGGGCATCTACATTTAGGGAGGGGGGGATAAAACAGGGATTTGCTGAACCAGACAGAACCAGACCTCAGCCACTTGCTTCACAAATACACAAGGCACAGCCCAGCAAATGATGGAGCATTTGCTGCTGGGAATGGATGGATGGATGGACATGGACACCCTGCCAGCCTGGAAAATGGGGATTTGGGAGCACAGATGAGATGGGGATGGGCAGAGCAGGGGGCTCCTCGTGGCACAGGGGTTTCACCCCGAGGGGCTCTGGCTGGCCCCATGCAGTGCCCTCTGCCCTCCCTGCTCAGATCCTGCTTTCCCACCAGCCAGCACCATGAATTATATGCTTGGAAGCACCTGATGTCCTCTGGCTGCATCCAACACATTTCCATCCCTGCCCTCGGGCTGTCCCTCATTCCCAGCACCATTTCCATTCCCTGCCCCTGGCTGCAGGATCAGGGGGGCTTTTCCCACCTCTCAGCAGGGATTTGGGGGCAGGGAGTGCAGGAGCAGCTCCTGCCACAGGCAGACCCTGCACACCTCTGGTTTCCTCAGCACAGGCCGTGCAGGGCTCTGGAACTGGGAATATATCCCAGCTTTCAGCAGGACATTGAGGCTAATCCTGCACTGCGACTGATCCAAAGGCAGGGATGGTGTACAGAACATGAATTTCACTGGGGTGAGACCGACTTGGGAGGCAAAAACATCTTTGTGCTGCTTCTACTGCAGCACCCACTGAGACACCACAGGGCTGGGGCTGCCCCTGGATCCCCGGCAGTGCCCAGGGCCAGGCTGGACACCGGGGCTGGAGCAGCTGGGACGGTGGCAGGTGGGAACTGGATAGGACAGGAACCCCTCCCAACCCAGCCCAGTCCGGAATTCTCTGAATTCCAAGGGCAGAGGATGCACAGCGACCAAATCAGTGCCCAAAACACAGCCACGGGGACGTGTCCCCCCAGAGCTGGGAGGGGACATGTCACCCCCGATCTGGGGATGGGACATGTCACCCCCAGAGCCACCCCAGGGCTGGGGATGGCCCCGTCCCATCCCCAGAGCCACCCCCGAGCCAGGACTGTCCCTGTCCCCTCCCCGGTGTCCCCCCCGAGCCGGGGCTGTCCCTGTCCCCTCCCCGGTGTCCCCCCCGAGCCGGGGCTGTCCCTGTCCCCCCGGTGTCCCCCCAGCAGCCGTTGTTACCGATGGCCGGGGGCAGGGGGGAGCCGGTGCGCGGCGGCGTGGCCGGGATGTTCTTCGGGGGGAGCGGCGGAGGGGCTGAAACAGAGCACAGAGAGGGGAAAGTTCAGCTGGAGAGCAGCAGGAGGCGCGGCACATCCCATGGGATGTCACAAGGGATCGCTGGGCAAAGGGGACAAGGCAGGGATGAGCTCCCAGCCCGGCCTTGGGCACTGCCAGGGGTCCAGCAGCAGCCACAGCTGCTTTGGGAGCTCAGCCCATCCCTCACAAGGAGGAATTCTTCCCAATATCCCATTAATTTCTTCCCAATACCCCATCCCTCCCTGCCCTCTGGCAGTGGGAAGACATTTCTGTTGGGTTTGATGGAATTTCCCCCCTTTTTTACATCTCAGGCTGTTTCAACGCCCTCAATTAGCATTTTAATTAAACCTGGATCCTCCGAGGCTCGGAGCTGCCTCCGCCTTTCTCCCGTTCCCATCCCACGTGGATCCAGGATGTGGATCCGGGATCGGGAATGCTGGGGCTAATTAACAGCGGCTAATTAACCAGCTGTGCTTTACAGGGGCATTTCTGCAGAGGAAATGGCTCCGCAGCTGCCCCGGGCAGAGGGAAAGCTGCAATAAAAATCCGGGATTGGGCTGTGCTGCTCTCCCTGAGGTTATCCTGGAAAAACCGGTGCTTCCAACTTTTCCAGCCAAGTAACCTCGGCGTGAACGTGCAGGGTCAGGATCCATCCCATCCCTTGATCCCTTATCAATCCCACTCCCTCCTCCACCCCACAGTGCTGTCACCCAAGCCAAACAAAGGGGAAAAAACCCCTTTAATTTAAAATATCATGGGACTGCACAGCCTGGATGAGGACAGCTCAAATCTTTGACCTGATTTCTGGATATATTTATTTATTTTCATGGTCACTTACTTCCAGTTGGAAAAGGTCTTGGAAGTTTTGGGGACTCTACGTTTGTGTTGATGGGCTGGACTGACCCCCATATCTCAGGCTGGTCCAGAGGAGCTGAAAAATCAAAAATAAACACTTGAAAGCAATGAAAAACCCAAATATTTTCTTCCCATCACCCAAACACAGTGATGAGACACTGAGGCTCTGGGAAAAGAGGGCCCAGACAGTGAGAGAAACCTCATTAATTAAGGACAGGGGGTTCTGTAATGGTGGATAATTAAAATCCTGTCTGATTTTGAAGCAGGACGTGCAATTAGTTTGACACTTATGTTGTTTGACAAACAAAACAATGCCAGGGATGGATTTGGAGGCTTATTATGGGAAGAAAAACATTGTATTGATGGCCAAAATGGTCTGGAATTTTAGGATATGCAAACAAAAAAACCCATCAGGTAGTAAAATGAAAAGATAATTGTATTCCCAGAGAATAAAGGGGGAGAAAAAAAATATTTTTTTGTACATAATTTAGATTTCTTGGAGTTTTTGTGCAGAGAAGTGCTTGCAAACATTGTCTTGATTAAAAGAATTAACTGGAGGCGTTAATGACAGGACATAACGAGGCTATGAGGGCAGTGGCCCTCCAGGAGGAGGAGGAGGAGGAGAAGATCTCTGGGAAGAACCCACTCCAGAGCATGGATGGGGCTGGTTTTGGGGAAAACAAGCCTTGCAAGGCTCTTGTGCTTTGGGAAAGCTGGGAAAAACCAGCTTTGGAAGGAAGCAAAGTGTCTCTGTGTTAAAGGAAGGAAAAATGACATTTTTGAGTTGGCATTTCCTAGGCATGGAGGGGTGCAAGGCTTGTCCAACAGCTGCCTCCAGAATCCTGGAAGGAGTTAAACCCCCCTGCTCCAGGGTGAAGGGTTGACTGGAAAATGCTGAGTTTTGATATTCTTGAGCTGCTCCCTGTCAGGATCTCTCCCAGACCTCATAATTAGCTAATTGACTTAAGCACTTGCTCTGTTTCCACCCAGCCTGAATTAATCCCGGACGTGGCCACCCGTCCTTCAACCCCTGCCTGGGCTCTCTTCTCCAGCAGGCTGGGAACCCAGGAATCCAGGAATTGTCCAGCTTGGAAAAACCCTCAGAGCCCATGGAACTGCCAGTTCCACTCCTGATCTTGTCCCCAAGTGCCACATCCACACAGCTCTGAAATCCCTCCAGGAATGGGGACTCCACACCTACCAGGGCTGGAGAACCTTCCTGTGTCCCTGCCAGGAGATGCCACCATGGCCCCAAAGTCACTCACCAGGTCCCCTAAGTCACCCACCGTGGCCCAAAGCCACCATGGCTCCAAAGTTGCCATGGCCCCAAAGTCACCCTGTTGCTAAACTCACTCACCAGGCCCCCAAATTCACCCACCATGGTCTGAAGTCACCATGGCCCCAAAGCTTGACTGTCACAGCCCCAAACTCACCCTGTCACTAAACTCACCCACCATGGCCCCAGATTCACTCACCATGGCCCCAAACTCACCCACCCCAGCCCCAAGCTCACCAGGTCCCCAAACTCCCCTGCCCCGGCCCCAGATTCACTTGCCACGCTCCAAACTCGCTCGCCCCAGTCCTAAACTCACTTGCCATGCCCCAATTGCCCTCACCCCAGCCCCAAAGTCATTTGCCGTGCCCCAAATTTCCCAGGTCCCCAAACTGCTTCGCCTCAGCCCCAAACTCACCCGCCATGGCCCCAAAGTCACTTGCCATGCCCCAAATGCCCTCGCCCCAGCCCCAAAGTGATTTACCATTTCCCAAACTCACCCACCATGGCCCCAGACTCACTTGCCATGCCCCAAAGTGATTTGCCGTGCCCCAAACTGACTCACCCTGCCCCAAACTCGCTTGCCATGCCCCAGACTCACCCTCCAGCTTGTGCTCCTCGAAGGCTGACTCCAGCGGGGGCCCGAAGAGCGGGGCCAGCGCCGCCGGATCCTCCGCGGGTTTCTTGCTGTGGGGAGAGAGGAGCACAGCAGCCGTGAGGGGCACGTTTGTGCTCTGACCCCATCTTTGAGGCAAACACAAACATCTTCGAGGACTTTTCTTTACCCCAGGCCAAAGAGGAGCTGGCCAAACACGGGGTTCCAGGTGGGAAAAAGGGAAAGGAGTGTGGCAGCACCACAGTGCCAACCTTGCGGTGCCACAGCAGCTGCTGGGACAATGAGTTGCTTTAGGGTTGGTCAAAACTTCATGGAAAAGGATTAAAAAAATAAATACTTGGGGTCTGAACTATGCTCTGCTACAACACACCTTGAGTCGACCCCTGGAGCTGCACAGGGCACATTCCCAGGGAGATTTGGCTTTATTCCATAAAAACTTGCATGTTTGCTGTCCTAAATCAATACATCCCCCACAGCTTGGCCAACCCTTTATGGATCAGGCTCAAGGTGGCTTCCAGCAGGGAATGTCCTTGGAGCTTTTGGTGAAGAGCAGGGATGGACACTGAGCATCCCAACCCCTCAGTCCTGCCAAAAACCTGGAATGTTTTCGGTTGGAAAGACCTCGAAGCCCACCCAGTGCCACCCTGCCATGGCAGGGACACCTCCCACTGTTCCAGGTGCTCCAGCCCCAGTGTCCAGCCTGGCCTTGGGCACTGCCAGGGATCCAGGGGCAGCCACAGCTGCTCTGGGAATTCCATTCCTCCCCCTCCCAGGGAACAATCCCTTCCCAAAGCCCCAGTGGGATGAGGAGCCCGAGCCTGGGTGATGCCAGGCGGGCTCTGCACTGACCTGGCGGGGTCTGGCGTGGGCGTGGAGCGCCGGGGCCGCGTGATCTCCTCACCTGGGACAGGACACACGTGGATGAGAGTCATTCCCCCTCCACAGCATCCCCCTGGTGTCCCACCCACCCTGCTGTGCAGAGCTCCTGGCAGGAAAAATCTGCTTTTAATTCTGATTTATTTCTGTGCAGAGCTAAATCAGGGAGCTGCACTGCTACGGGTGTCCCAAGGATGTCCCCCACTCCTCCAGGAAGAACTTTTGGGAACCACCTGCTTTGCCAGCACCACTTTAAATCAAATTTAAGTCACTCCTTTTCCCACCCCCACTCCCCAAACCCCTCCAGCAGTTGCAGTGAGTGCTGTTTTCACAGGCTGCAGGAGATACTTACTGGATAAATTCCTTTTAATCGTCCCCTGGAAGGAGAAACACAGGGATAAGTGGGGTGCACAGGGACAGGGGTGGGTGGCACTTGTCACCCCAGGAGCAAAGCAGCCCAGCAGAGGTAGCAGGAGCTGTCTGAGGGGACATTTCCTGCAGGTGCCTGAACTCCAGGGACCAGAAAACCCTGCAGAAAATTCCTGAGCCACACAAAACCACAGCTGGCAGCTCTGCTGTCCCGAGTGCCACGGCCACAGGACTGTAAATCCCTCTGGGAATGGGCACTCTCCACTGCCATGGCCAGCTGTGCCAATGGCTCGTGGGGCAAAAGCCAAACCCTCCCCACCACGGGAGCAGGGACACCCCAGAACCAGAGTGGGATCTCAGGGATTCCCATCACTCAGGGCTGTCACTGCCATATTTTCTGGAAAAATCCCTTCGCCAGGATTTCTCTCCTGGGAAGCTGAGAAACCTCAGAGAAAAAGGAAAACAATATTATCTCATTTGCTTCTCCTGTGTTTTCGTGCTTTGGAATGAGGTTTGGAGATGGTTTCATTGGTTTCATGTGAGTTGTTTTCACTCATTGGCCAATCACAACCAAGATGTGTCGAGACCCTGGAGAGGCTCACAAGTTTAATTATTATCTTTTTAGCATTCTGTCTGTATCCTTTCTGTATTCTTTAGTATAGTATAACATTCTTTAATATAATATAGATCATAGAATAACAAATTAGCCTTCAAAGAGCATGGAGCCAGATTCCTTCCTTCCTTCCTCTGGGAACCCAGAAAATACAAGACAGGGCCCCTTTGTGTTATTGAGGTCCCACCCACCACCACTGGGGTGACACAAGGGGCTGTGTGACACCACTGGCAGCTGTCCCCAAGCCCTGTGCCCACCCCGGGCAGGACCCCCATGACCCCATTCCCATTCCCAGGAGCGGGCTCTTACCGGGCTGCGCCGCTGCGGTCAGCGAGAGGGGAGAGAAGAGACACCTGGTCAGAGAGTGACACGTCAGCACCCCAAGGTCCCCAGCTGCCACCACACCTCGTGGGTCACCCTGGCACAGCCCCCCAGGGGAACCCAAGTCCTGGAAAATGGGGGGATTTCCCCCCTGGAAGCTGAGTTCTCTTGGAGAAACCCCAGTGGCACCACGGATGTGTTTCCTGCCTTCTCCTTTTGGATGTGCCCCAATCCAGGTAAATCCAAGCCCTTACACACCTGGTCCAACTTCTTGGACCCAAACTACACCCCCAAAGCACGCTCAGAGCCAAGCCCAGCTCTATTTCTACACATCCTATTTTAAAAAGCTCTAAGTCAGCGATCAAGGAAATTAAACTTCATTCTAGAAGGGCAGGATTTGTTATTTGCTTTCGGCATTTCAGCTCTAGAGACAGGACAAGAGCACACACAAAGCTGGGTTAAAATATTCCAGGAGATAAAAATTGCATTTCTTACCGGACTTTTCCTCTAAAAGAAGGCAGAGAGAAAACAAAAAGAAGGAATGAGAAGGTGAGGGATTTTTTAATAAAGGAATCAAAGATTTGTGTCAGGTTAAAGACAAAGCAGAGGGACAGGAGTGCTCCAGCTTCACCCTCACGTGGGAGAGGGAGAATTTGGAAATGGAAAAATTGTGTCTGAGCCATTTTAGGGGAAGAATTCCATTGTTTTATCATGACAGGCCCTGCTAGCTATTCCCAGTCTGCTTCATTCCCAGTTAAGGCAGCAGAATTCCCAGTCCAGAGGGCTGGGAGTGACAGTGACTGCAGACACAGCACCTGGCACAGGTGCCCAGAGCAGCTGTGGCTGCCCCTGGATCCCTGGCAGTGCCCAGGGCCAGCCTGGAGCAGCCTGGGATAGGGGGAGGTGTCCCTGCCCATGGAATGGGATGGGATTTTGGGTCTCTCCCAGTCCAATCCATGGGATTTGTAATCTCCCTCCTAGCAGGGATGCAGATCCAGAGCAGGGCTTTGTGCCTGGTTTGGGAGAGAAGACAAGCCCGGGACAAGGGCAGGGAGCTGGCAGGGAATTCTGGAATTCCTGTGGGTGCCAGGTTCCTGCAGGCAGCTCCTGCCCGGGGCTCTGGTGCTTTCCTGGCCCGTGCCAGGATCCAGCTCCAGTGCCCAGCCCATCTGCTCCCTTGGCTGCTGGCTTTGGGATCCTCCTGCCAGCCTGGCAGGGGCTTTCCCTGAGCACATTCCACGGGAGGCTCTGGCTGCAGGGATCCCCTCCAGCCCAGCACCCAAATCCCTCAGCCCACCCCACACTGGGATCCTCCTCACCCCTCCCCAAACCCCCCAGCCTCGGCAGGAAAAACACCACGGGGAAGAGGAGACAAAAATCCTACTTGGTAAAATGCTCATTCCACGAGAACTCATTTTTCCTAATATTATTATTATCATCATCAATATTAAATTGTTCATTTTGAGGTTGGGTTTTCCCCTCCTTTTTTTGTGCTTCCCAAAGCATCCAACTGCCATTTCTAATCCTGGAATGCCAACAGACAAACTCCCTGCTTGGGAAGCAGAAACAAAGCACAGGGATTTTGTTTCACTTTGGCTTGGAGAGCCATTCACAATTCAGATCCAGGTTATTTATAAATCATGGAAAGCTTTGTCTGGGAAGTCACTTAAGCCCACACTAAAACCTCCCGAAAGCCCAGAATCCAATCTTTTTATGGCTGAACAGATTGTGATGAGCCAACAGGAATCTTAACAAGCCCTAGGAAAAGCAGAGGGGGATGGACTTTATGCCAGGATGGACTAAGGAAAAATGACCTTTCCTTCCAGGAACCTGGATTCACCTCCAGAGTGGGAAACATCCCTCAAATCCCATGGAAAACCCCACAGATGCTTTCCTTGGCTTGGGAGTCAGGGCAAACCCTGAATGATGATGACTGAAAATTCCCCTTGATTGAAATTCCCCTTTTTCCTCATTGAAAAATAAGGATAAGAGGGAAAAAAAAATACATTGTGATGTCTTCTATGAGCACAAAAGGGGATTTTTGTGACATTTTGAACTGGAAAGATCATTTCAATACATCTGAGCAACACCTGCAGCCACACCCCTGCAGACCAGACCCCAAAATAAGGACACCAAAGCCAAGTGGAACATCAGAGCTTGGGATGATCCCTGTGCACCACCACTGCCACAGTGCAGCTGGTTTGTAGCTGCCAGACAGATTTGGTCAAATCAGACCTCAAACTCCACCAGCTTAGAAGTAAAATGAGTCCCCAGACAAAGCAAGGGTGGGTTGGATTCAAACCAACCTCAGCCAACCCCATCTAATCCTAAATGCAAAAATACCACTGACTAAAGGCCTGGATGCTGCAGAGATCCCGACCCATCGGTTGTCCATAGGAATTTTGAATCCCCTATAAAAGGGGCTGCCATAATAAACTCTTGGCTGGACAACGAACTGCAACCTGCAAATGGAGCAGAGCTGATGAAAGTGAGCGCTCGTGCATTTTGGGACCATTTGGGTTCATCTTGGGGGCAGCCCTGGCTGGGCTCTTGTGCTGCCCAAGGTGGATCCATGGAGGAGATCCTTTGAATCAATCCCTGCTTTATTCTGGAGCTCTGCCCAGCCTCTGCTCCAGGGCAGCCTGCACAAGGCATCGATATGACCAAATTTATGTGGCAGCTACAAACCAGCTGCACTGTGACACCCACTGCCCTGGGGGCCGGGAAAGGAGTGGGGAAGGCCGGGGAAGGCCGGGGAAGGCCGGGGGGACTCACCACAGGGGATGGAGAAAGTGCAATGTTGCCTATGGAGGCCTTGAGCTCGTCCACGGTGGCCGCGCTGCGCAGGACGTCCTTGGCCTGCAGGGGCTTGATCTTGATGTTGAATTTCTTGTGCGCCTCCTCCTCCTCCTCCGACTCGCTGGAGGAGTAGAAGTGCTTTCCTTTGGTAGGTACAGCTCAGTTAAGGAATTTTCCTTCCTTGGTGTTCCAAGCTTGCTAGAGAGCTTGTTTCTTTTTGGTTTTTTTTTGGTTTTTTTTTTTTTTGGTCTCAAAATGGTGACCCCAAAAGAGGGGAGGAGATCCTGTGCTGGGCCTGTCGCTGCCGCATCCCGTGCTTTCCTTTGGTAGGTACAGCTCAGTTAAGGAATTTTCCTTCCTTGGTGTTCCAAGCTTGCTAGAGAGCTTGCTTCTCTTTGTTTTTGTTTTTTTTTTTGGTCTCGAAATGCTGACCCCAAAAGAGGGGAGGAGATCCTGTGCTGGGCCTGTCGCTGCTGCATCCCTGTGCAGCCAGAGCACGAGGAGCTGCTGTTCTCAGGGATAAATCCAGCTCAGGGGTTGGATTTATGAATCCATGTCTGGATTCCATGTCTGGATTTCATGGAATTGTTCAGGTTATGAGACAATCAGGTCCAGCCATCCCCCAGAGCTGCCCCATGTCCCCAAGTGCCACATCCACATGGATTTTAAATCCCTCCAAGGATGGAGGCTCCATAACTCCCCTGAGCAGTTGTTCCAATGCCTGACCAGTCTTTTCCATGAAGAAGTTTTTCCAATACCCAACCTAAACCTCCCCTGGAATTTGAGGCTCTTCCCCCTCCTCCTATCCCCTGTTCCCTGGGAGCAGAGCCCATCCACTCTCCTTGTCAAGAGCCAGAAGCTCCTCCCTGATCCTCCTTTTCTCCAGGATAATCACGGACATTTTGGTCTCCATGGAGCATCCCGTGGGATGTTCCCCCACTCCCCATTTCACAGCAGTGAATCAAAGACAATTCAAATGCCTCAGGTAATTCCCTCGGGAATTCAGCTTTATCTGTGGAGAGCCAGTTCCAAATGAAAATCCAAAGGTGAAAATAAATAATTATAATTAATTATAAATAATAACAACCACGAAATAAAAAGAGTCAGTGGCCTGCCTGTGAACCCCAGCTCCTGTTACAGGCTGTAAGCCAAGAGGCAAAGCCAAAACCAAAGGATATATCCTGGTTCCTCGGGTCGGATGCTGTATCCCTCCTCATCGAGCTCAGGTGAGTTCTGGATAGGGAACAAAAAAATAGAAATCCAGGAAGATGAGGAGTGTGAATTCCTGGAATGGTGGAGCAGCTCTTCCCTCCTGTGGGAAAGGATCTCCTGCACAGCCCAGCTTCTGGGGCCACACAGAGCCAAGGGCACCTCAAATTCCCTGATTAATTTTGCAGAAGGAAAAGTTTTAATCCCTGTTTAGAATTTAAAGTTTTCTCTGGCTAAACTGCAACATTCCCATGGGCCAGGAGAGAGCTCTCCAGAGCCACCTCATTCCTGGGAATTCTGGCTGACCTGCAGGTGTGGAACTGGGGTCTGGACAGAGCTGATTTCACCCAAAGAGCCCGAAATGAGTGTGGGAAGAGCCTGGGATCCCATGGGATGCAGCTGGGAGCAGGGAAGCTCCTGGGGGCACTTACGTATCTGTCCCAGTCGATCTCTGCATAAAATCCATTTGGGGCTCCGTTGGTTTTCTTCTGGAAAGGAAAATTCCCATGGTTCAAATGGAGGAAGCAGGAACACAGCACATCCCTTAGCAGGTGCTGCTGCTGTTATCCCACACCACGTCAGAAACCCAACAGCATTCCCCACCTCTGGGATTCTCCCATCCCAGAGAGGTGAAAGGAGGGGGGGGTTTAATATTCCTTAGGTGGACATCCAACATTCCTTAGGGAAAAGTGAGGAAAGGGCCACTTCTCCCTGTGCTGGGGACTTCCAGCCCTTGGGAAGCTCCCAACACCAGGAAATTTCTCAGGAAATATTTCCTGGGAGATTAAACCCCTTCCCCAAGAAAGGGCAATCCCAGGAAGGATTCAGATCCTGTTATCCCACATGCCAGGCATTGGGAATTCAGGATGGAGCAGTGGGAAGGGTCTGGGATGAGTCCATGCCATGAAACACCAACACACACAGGAACTGCTGCTTGGCATTGAGGGAATTCCGTTTGGAAGAGGCTCCAGGCATCCCTCACCTCTGGAACCCTTTCCTGCTTGGCTCTGGGCACCCAAACCCATCCCAAGTCCCACGGCCACCACGATTCTGGGCACCTAAATGGGACAATCCAGTTCCCTTGAACTTCCAGAGGGACCATTCCCATCCCAGCTCCCTCCAAGGGGGCTGCAGGATGCACTCCCTGATCCAGGGCTGGGTGCAGCCCCTCACCTCCACACCTCTGGGTGGAGCAGCTTCCTTGGAAGCTCAGCTGTGAAAGAAAATCTCCTCTGGGTTCTGTTCCGTGGGAATTCTGGGTGCTGTTCCAGGGGATTCCTGCTTTTCCCCCATCCTTTTGTATTTAGCCCCATTTCCATGGGCCTGGCTGACCCTAAAGGGATTTTCCTGCACTCTGGATTCCAAACCAAGGGGTGCTCCCTGTTTTCCACACCCCCATGGGAGCTGGGAGCCCAGCTCAGTTTTCCTTACCCCGTTTTTATTTCCTCCTTCCCGCGTGCCCTCGGGTTTGCTATTGGAAGTTGGATCATTGGGATGAGGGCTGGGCTGCTGCAAGGGTGGGGGTGGCAGAAAAAGGGTTAAAATATCTGCTCCTTGGCTGGGTTTTTTTGGGTTTTCTTTTTAACTGCGCAAAATTAAGTTTTAGGAACTAGGGAACACGAATTTGTCAGGAAAGGAAGGCTTAGCTGTGGCTCCACCAGGACTGAAGGTGGATGCTCCTGTGGGCTCTATTCAGCAGTCAGGATTTGCCTCCTGGCCACCCCAGTGGCTGCAAAAATTATGTGGAAAAGGGTCTGGAGGATGAAAAATTATATCAAATGTCTCCATCGCCAATCCCTCTGCCTCAAACACCTCCAGGATCTTCGTTTTGTCCCCTAAAAATTGCATTTCTGCATCCTTGGAGAGGACACCTGAGGTCCCTCTGCCCACACCTGGTGAGGAAAGCTGCCCATGGGATTTCTGCTGGAAGAGGGAACAGCCTGGGGATGTTCCCTGGATATTCACAGAACTAAAATTGGAAAAAACCTCCAGGTTCATCCAGCCCAAGCCGTGCCCCATCCCCACCTTGTCACCAAGTGCCGCATCCAGGTGTTCCCTGGACACCTCCAAACTCCACAAATTCTGTGGAGAAATTCCTCCTGACGTCCAACCTAAACCTGCTATTTGTTAATTTATCCAACCTAAACCAGGTCTTTATTGATTTATCCAGCCTAAACCTGCTATTTATTAATTTATCCCATCTAAACCTGCTATTTATTAATCTCTGCTGAATAGAGCCCTGAAGGCACTACCTTTACTTTCATCTCTATTTCCTAACAAGCAGCTTAAAAACACAAGGAGTGCCCAAAGCCAAGGATTTTGGGTCAGACTGGGGGGAAAATGAAAATTATTTCTTGCAAGGAGCAGTTTGGCCCCCAAATTTTTATCTTTTTAAAGATACCCCAGCACTGCTGTCCCTGCGGAGCCTCACAAGGAGCTCATCTTTATTTTGAGGTGAAATTCTAAAATCTGGATTTGCTGAAGAAATAAAGCCCAGTCTGAACCCAGAATAATTTTTATATCAAACACTGAAGGGGTCAGGGCCCATCTCCTACCCAGCTCCAGCAGGGACATTTCAGTCTAACACCAGGAATAAACGCAGCAATAATTGAAAAAAAAAACAAACAAACAAACAAAAAAAAAAACCCCACAACAAACCACAAACATTGTCATGTTTTCAGGTTAATATAGAAAATAAAAATAGAGGTTGGAAACAGCTGCTCTGGCAATGAACTCCTCAGGCAGCAAATCTGTCCCAAGCCAATTAGCAGGGGTGGAAATGAGGATGAGGAGCTGGGCTTAGCAGGACACCTGCTCCCTCTGCCCCTGGTGCTCCTCAGGCCTCCCCTGCTGGTATTTTTATAGGAAACCTGGAATTTACCTTTTTTTTACATGGATTTTTACATTTATTTTCTATATTAAACAGAAAACCTCTCACAAATGCTGATGGTGGTGGAAGGGGAGGTGACCCTGGGCAATACTCACGATGCCATCCCTGTCTGGTGACCCCCTGGAAAGAGCAGAAAAAGGAGCTGTGTTAGTGCCCAGACCACACCCAATTCACTCGTGGAAATTAATTTTTAAATTTTGAAATGAATTCATGGCAGCAAAAGCTCCTGTTTATGACATTATCAGCACATCTGAGTTACCTGCTCCTTGTGGAACACACACAAGGTCACAGAAATTTTTTCCCTCGTGTTATCAGCTGATAAATTTGAGGTTTATCAGGAAATGAAGTGCTGGGGCTGGCACTGTCCCAGCTGGCTCCTGCACCATCCCGCATCCCTGCCCCGTGTCCATCCTTGCAGGGGACAGGAATCCCATCTGGAGGAATTTCCAGGCTTTGATCCTGCCAGGAGGACAGACGCTTCTCTGCTGGGGGGATTGGGAGCTGCCGAGGCTCCCCGGGGACCCTAATCCCCAGCTGCCGATGGGATTTGGGATCGGGGCTGGGTCCCGCAGGCTCTGCAGGGGATGCCGGGCTTTGGGGAATGCAAATATCCATGGGATGCAGACGGGCTCCTCCGCCTCCCGCACATCCCGGGTTTCCTGCACCGCCAGGGAAGTGCCACCAGCTCACACCTGCCTCGGGATCCCTACCGGGAGCTCCCCGTTCACAGGGAATAGCGGCAGCCCGCAAAGTTCTCCCACTAATCCATGCTGCCTCCCTTCTCTCCTGTTTAGGCTCCATCTCTTTGCACAAGAGTCCCTGAAATCCTCTGGACGTGGCAAAAATCCCTTCTGCTGTTATGCTTCCCCCTCACTGCGTGATCCCCAGCACAGGGGTGTCACCTCCTGCTCCCATCCCGGCTGGAATTGCTGGGGAGACCCTTCCCACAGCAGCTCCAGCAGAGCCATTCCAGACCCATCAGCAGCTCCAGGGACCCCGGTGTCCTGGGAGGGTGGTGGCCGGGGGTGGCAGATGCCACCATCCCTGCCTTCTTCCACTCCATCCCTGCCTGTTCTCTCCCTCCTCTCCCAGCTCCATCGCTGCCTCCTCTCCCGGTTCCATTCTCCTGCCTTCTCTCCCTCTCCATCCCCTGCCTTCCCTCCCGGTTCCATCCCCTCCCTCCTCTCCCGCTTCCATCTCCCCGTCCTCTCCCGCTTCCATCCCCTGCCTCCTCTCCCGGTTCTTCCATCCCCTGCCTTCCCTCCCGGTTCCATCCCTCGCACCTCTCCCGGTTCTTCCATCCCCTCCCTCCTCTCCCGCTCCATCCCCGCTGCCGGCGGGGATCTGGAGAGCGCCCAAAGCCCCTGGGGCCGTGCCCGCGCCGTGACCCCGCCGTGTTAATCACTGCTGCTGCTAATTGCAGCGCCCTCGGGGCGGCCTCTCCGCGCCCTCCCCAGCGGCCGGGATCCCTCCCGGGCCTGCCGCAGCTCCCAGCCCACCGGGAGCAGCGGGATGGGATGGGAATAGGGATGGGAATAGGGATGGGATGGATCTCAGCCCTGGATAAGGCAGCCCAGCCCCGGCTCCAGCGATTTTCCAAGGGGAGGAGATGCAGAGCAGCCTCACTCCCGCCCACCGGGATAAATGATGGATGAAATGAACTCGCTCCCAGCCGGAGCTCCCGGCTGTCCCACGGCTCGCTGGGTGGATGCCACCATCCCTGGGGACGGCAGGATGGCACCTCGGGGCCGCACGTTCCTCTCTTGGGATGTGCTCCGTGTGTCCCCTGTTCTTGGCAGTGGGAAAAGCCCGGCAGAGATGCCAGTGCCACCAGGGTCACCTGGCCAAGCCTGTGTCCCTCGGCATGGGAAACCTCCAAGCAGCTCCCACCAGGACATAAAACAGCTCAGGGGAATGAATCTGAATGGAATAAAAGGAAAAACCTCGGAGTTTCTGCTGACCATGAAACCTGAGCAGAGCTACAGGAGGGGACTCCCTGCTGCCTGTCCCCTGTCCCCTGCTGTCCCCAGGGACTCCCTGCTGCCTGTCCCCAGAACCTGCTGGCACAGGCTCCTTGGCCACAGCACTTGGGGACATCCACCCCAAAGCCACAGCGGTGGTGGCTGAGAATCATGGAATTGTTGGGGTTGGAAAAGCCCTCTGAGGTCATCAAACCCAACCATTCCCAGCACTGCCAAGGTCATCTCGTGTCCCCAGGTGCCACATCCACAGGGATTTTAAATCCCTCCAGGCATGGGGACTCCTGGGCAGCTGTGCCAGGGCTGGAGGACCTTTCCAGGAGGAATATTCCCAAAAATGCACCCTGAGCTCCCCTGGCCCAGCCTGGGGCCGTTCCCTCTGCTCCTGTCCCTGTTCCTGGAGCAGAGCCCGACCCCCCGGCTGTCCCCTCCTGGCAGGAGCTGTGCAGAGCCACAAGGGCCCCCTGAGCCTCCTGTGCTCCAGGCTGAGCCCCTTCCCAGCTCCTCAGGGATTCTCCAGCCCCTTCCCAGCTCCCTCAGCCTCTCCTGGGGCTCTCCCAGCTCCCCAGATCCATCCACTATTCCAGATCCTTCCCAGCTCCAATACAAGCAGCAACCTAAAACAATCTTTTCAAAATGCTGTAGATGGAAAACATAAAGGAACCCAACATCCTTCACTTCAGCTGGAGCTGTTGGAGAAATCTCTCTGGAAGCATCCCTGCTCCAGCCAGAAGTTGTCTCCAGGGAGTGTGGGATGGTTCAGGGGGCAGAAATGGGGAGCAGGGTTCAGTCCATCACTGTCCCTGCTGCTCCCTGTGCTGAGGAGGGACGTGGTCCTCTCCCAGCTGGAGTTTTCCTGATGATCCTGCAAGACTTCTTCTGACCATCCAGCTGGAGTTCTCCTGATAATCCAGCTGGAGTTTTCCCTGATGATCCTGCTGGAGTTTTCCTGAAGATCCAGCTGGAGTTTTCCTGACCACCCAGCTGGAGCAGAGGGATTCCAAGCTGTTCCTGCAAACAGCAGCTGGTCTCTGACGAGCTCCTGACATTAGGCAGGCACAAGATTAAATAATTCTTTCCCTGCCAGATCTTTAATCATCGTTGGAGGCTCGAGATGGGGCTCTGAGTGCTCCTTGATTCTGGGATTCTGGGGTTCTCCGGGAATGACTAGGAGGGCATTGTCAAACCTCAGCAGGAAAAGCAGGAGCAATTTGATACCCAAACAAACCACATGGTTTGACCTCCCTTTGAGGGAAAAATTCCTCCACCCTGATCCCTCCTGGCCCAGCCTGGGGCCGTTCCCTCTGCTCCTGTCCCTGTTCCTGGAGCACAGCCCGACCCCCCGGCTGTCCCCTCCTGGCAGGAGCTGTGCAGAGCCACAAGGGCCCCCTGAGCCTCCTGTGCTCCAGGCTGAGCCCCTTCCCAGCTCCTCAGGGATTCTCCAGCCCCTTCCCAGCTCCCTCAGCCTCTCCTGGGGCTCTAGCCCAGGCTCAACCCTCACCCACAGCACCCCCCACCAGATGTGGGAAGAATCCAGATGTTTTCTGGGAAGTGAGAACCCTGCTCTGCACCAGCCCCTGCACCTTCCCCAGCCACCAAACCCTGCACAAACACCTCTGTAAATTCAATTTACATCTCTAACCAGCTCTAAAGAGCAGAGAGGGATCTGCTCCAGCTCCAAGTCCTCCTTTTCCACCCGTCCCCAAAAATCCCAAGAGCTCCCAGCAGCTCCCAGGAAATCCCACGTTTGCTGCATGTGCAGGGAACAGCTGGAATGCGTCTGCCATAAAACTCCATCCAAAGACAACAAGGGCCCGGGATGCCCCGAATTCCTGCTCAAAGCCCATGAAGGTCTCACAGCTCTGATCACTCACGTGGAATCAGTGTCCTTTTCTTTCTTGCGTATGCCAAAGGCCTTCCTGGTGCGCTTTTTCAGTCCTGGGGGAGGAACACAGAGGAAAAGGAATTATTCATGTACCCCCAATAAATCCCCCTCAAGGCTCCTCAGTCCCTCCCTGGCTGCAGCCCACAAATGAGGCGAGAAAAGGGAAGAGCCAAGGGATCAGAGACCCAGCTTTAGGGGACTGCCAGGGGGGTGTGGGGACATTTCTTTCTGCCATTTATTTGTTCATTTGACACTAATTAACTCCCTCCCAGTGTGTGGGACCGAGTTATTTCCCACTTAATATTCCACACTCAATATTTATTTCCCAGTTAATATTTATTACAGTTATTATTTCCCACTCAATAGTTGTTTCACAGTTATTATTTCCCAGGTAATCGTTTCACAGTCAATACTTCCCAGTTAATATTTCCCAGTCAATATTTGTCTTGTAGTTATTATTTCCCAGTTAATATTTCCCAGTCAATATTTGTCTTGCAGTTATTATTTCCCAGCAAATATTTATTGCACAGTTAATATTTCCCAGTCATTATTTCCCACTCAATATTTGTTTCACAGTAATTATTTTCCAGTTAATATTTCCCACTCCATATTTTTTGAGTTATTCCCCAGTTAATATTTATTTCCCAGTTAATATTATTTTTTACATTTAATATTTTTCATAGTTAATTATTTCCTAGTCAATATTTCCTACCTAATGTTTTTTTTTTTCAAGTCAATATTTCCCACTCAATATTTGGTTTGCAGTTATTATTTCCCAGCTAATATTTATTTCACAGTTAATATTTCCCACTCACTCTTTGTTTTCCAGTCAGTACTTCCCACTCATCATTTGTTTCCCGCTCAATATTTCCCAGTTAATATTTGTTTCCCAGTTAATATTTCCCAGCTATTATTCCCAATATTTTTCTTAATGACTCCATCCTTTCCCGTGCTGCTTCTGGGCACTGCTGAAAGGAGGAAAAACCCTCCTGGGTGTTAAAACCCAGTTTAAACCTGAGCTTGACTGTGCTCAGCACTGGTTTTTATCTGCTCAGTGCCTGGCATCAAGGATTCCAGAGCCAGCTGGGGAATCCTGGAATTCCAGAGCTCCAGGAGCAGCAGCCCCACCACAGCCCTTGGAGAGCAGTGGCTTCCTCCAAGCTTTTCCCTCTTTTTGCAGAATTCCAGGATGGTTTGGGATTCCAGGGGATTTTAGAGCTCACCCTGCTCCCCACGGGCAGGGACATCTTCCCCCATGCCAGGTTTTCCAGCCTGTGGGATTCCACAAAACCAGCTGAGCCCCGCAGGCTCATCCCGCCGCATTCCTGGCTCTGCTTTCCCAAATCCATCCTTTTCCCTCCCCACCAAGGCTCAGGTGAGGAACATTCCCATTAATCTCCCCGGGAGAATCCTCCTCCCCCGAGCCCCGGGCAGACCCAGGGGGGCTGAGCTGCTGCTTGGTCTCCTCTGGAGCAGAACCCCAAAAGTGGCAGGGATGTGCTCGGGAGCTGGGCTGTGTAACAGCTCCATCTGCTCGGGGCGCCGCGAGCTCCAGGGGAGCGGGGAAAACCAGGAATCTTTGGGAAAGGAGAAGCAAAGGGAGCTCTGCCTTTGGAGGGGGTGCTGAGAGGAACCCCACAAACCCCCGTGAGAGCCCCCACAGGGGGACACAGCTGGGGGACAATCCCAGGGCTGGCATCTCCCTGCAGCTCCTGAGCCCCTGGAGCAGGAGAATTCCCCATCCCGAGGAGCAGGGCTGGGCTCAGGTTGGGATCTGCTCCTCCAGTCCCCTGCCAGCAGCTTTCGGGGCTGAAGCTCCCCAAAACCTGTCCTGGCAGGACTCAGCCTTACAAAAAGTAACAAAAAAACCCCTCGTCCATAAAGGTGCCAGCCCCGAGCCGCGGGAATTCCACGGGGAATTCTCTGGGCTGGAGGCGCCAGGGCTGCCAGAACAGAGCCAGGCTGAGCCTGATCTCACCTCGGCCACAAAAACCTCTCCAAACCCAGCATCAGCCACCTCCAAACCCCTTTTTTTCCTGCTATCCGTAAGAATTCCACAATTTTAAAACTCTATTTTAAAACTCTGGAATTTTCCGCTTTATTCTTAAGGACCAACATCATTTTCTGCACCAAAACCTGAATTCTAGGAGCAAACCAACCCCATTCCCCCAAACCCAGCCCTTCACCCTCCACCCCCAGCTTGCCGCTGACCCCTAAATATTGATTTTTTTTTAAATTTAAATTTAAGTTTTAAATATTGAGGGAGGTCCCTGGAGGGAAAATGATTCACTTGGGAACATGGAGCTCGTGAGGAAAACACCTCTCAGAGAGTGGGTGCTCTTTGTGATGATTAAAGTAGAAAAAAAAATTGCTTGAAGTGAATTCTACTTCATCTGTGCACAAAGATAAAATTTATCTGTGACAGACTCAGGAGCAGGGAAAGAAGGAGAGGAGGGGAAAAATGAAATAATCACTCTTAGGATGGATTTTTCTTTGGTTTGGGTGTGGGGGGTGTTTCAGAGCTGGATTTGAGCAGCCTCAAATAATTTTTTTTGTGTAGGAAAAGCTGATTTTCATTTATAAAGCTCACATTTTTATAGTTTTTAAAGACTTTGTGTTTGACTCAAACTGGCTGTAATTTTTTTGCTGCTTGTCCTATTTGGTCAGAAGGTGCTTGTGTGTGAGTGTGCAAGACTTTTTTTAATAGGTGTTTACATTATTTTTTGTGGATTCTTATGGGATGGATCTTTTGTTATGACAGGTGTAACTTATTTTTCTTGGCAAGGTTATGTTGTTATGTAAACTGATTCTCATTCTTTAGATTCTTTCTTATGGGAATTAGCTAACTGCACTGAGCTAAACCACAATTTCATAAGGCCTTTCTTTTATATTATTTTTGTAGGTATTTAATGTAATGTAAATAAATTATAAACATATAATTGTATAATAATATAATATATATAAAACATATATTTATATTATATATATATTAAAATGTAAATAAATTTTGCCTAAAAATAATTAATTATTTGTAGGTAACATCACCCTGCTGTAAAATTGAATTTACTTGTCCTTTGCTTTGCCCAGCATACTCAAACCTCCAAATTCCTCCCAAATTCCTTGGAAGAGCCCAGAACCGTGGGAACCTCAGGGGAGAACAACCCTCAGCACAGCAAAACAAAGCTCCTGAAATCCTCAGGTATTCCCAGTGGGAAAAGTCACACAGTAAATTCAATTCTGAGGCAGGGTAGTGCTACATACAAATAAAAATATTATAAAAGAAAAATAGAAAATTGTGCTTGAGGCCTGCTGCTCCAGCTAAGTGCAGTTAGCTAATTCCCATAAGAAAGAATCTAAGGAATGAGTTTGCACAACAACCTGTTCTTGCCAAGAAAAATAAGTTACACCTGTCATAACAAAATAACAAACAACGTTAATAAACAGTAACTCCAGCCCATAAGAAGCCACCAAAAATAATGCAAACACCCATAAAAAGAGTCTGGCACATGCACACACAAGCACCTTGTAACCAACAGGATAAATGGCAAAAAAATTACAGCCAATTCGAGTCAAACACAAAACCTTTAAAAATGACAGAAATACAAGCTTTATAAATAAAAATTCGCTTTTCCTCCATGAAAAACCTGCAGCAGGGAAAACCCTACAGGCCCTAAACCCACATCCCAGCTTAAATCCTCATCCCAGCTTTGGGGCTCTGCAGGTCACCCCAGAGCCTGGACACAGCCAGGAGATTTGGGTCTAAATTTGGGTCTAAATTTGGGCATTTTAGGAGGGACGGGCACTCACCGCCATGCCAGGGCTGGAGAACCCTTCCCATGAGGAAACATCCCCAAAAACCCAGCCCAAACTTCCCTGGCATTGAATGCAGCCAGAAACAAAACCCCGAGCTGGGATTAATCCCCCTGGGGCCGAGCTCAGCCCGGAGCAGGGATGAGATTCCAGCGGCAGAACATCCCCAGGATGTGGGAATTGTCCCCAGAGTGGGGGAATGGAGGGGCTGTGACACCCTGGGCACGCTGCAGGAGCTGTGTGCCAGCTCCGTCCCCTCAGCCGGCCTCTAATTACCAGGATCAATTAGTGCCACTGCTCTGGGGCTCTGCAGTTCACCCCAGAGCTGGGACACAGCCAGGAGATTTGGGTCTAAATTTGGGTCTAAATTTGGGTCTAAACTGGGCATTTTAGGAGGGACGGGCACTCACCGCCATGCCAGGGCTGGAGAACCCTTCCCATGAGGAAACATCCCCAAAAACCCAGCCCAAACTTCCCTGGCATTGAATGCAGCCAGAAACAAAACCCCGAGCTGGGATTAATCCCCCTGGGGCCGAGCTCAGCCCGGAGCAGGGATGAGATTCCAGCGGCAGAACATCCCCAGGATGTGGGAATTGTCCCCAGAGTGGGGGAATGGAGGGGCTGTGACACCCTGGGCACGCTGCAGGAGCTGTGTGCCAGCTCCGTCCCCTCAGCCGGCCTCTAATTACCAGGATCAATTAGTGCCACTGCTCCTGTCTCCCAAAACGGGGCTGGGATCCAGCCACACACTCTGCATAAATCCCATTTTCCTTCATTTTCCTCCTCTCCCAAAACTGGGCTGGGATTCCAGCCACAAACTCTGCATAAATCCCATTTTCCTTCATGTTCCACCTCTCCAATCCCAAAATCAGGTTGGGATTCCACGAACTCTGGATAAACCCCATTTTCCACCCAATATTGGATTGGATCTCCACTCCAATCCCAATATTGGATCTGGATTCCTGCTAAAACTCTGGACAAATCCCATTTTCCTTGGCATTCCTCCTCTCCAATCCCAATACCGGATTGGAATTCCTGCCACAAACTCTGCATAAATCCCACTTGCCTTCATGTTCCACCTCTCCAATCCCAAAATCAGGTTGGGATTCCACAAACTCTGGATAAATTCCATTTTCCTTTATGTTCCTCCTCTCTCAAAATTGGGTCAGGATTCTAGCCACAAACTCTGCATAAATCCCATTTTCCTTCATTTTCCTCACTCCAATCCCAATATTGGATCTGGATTCCTGCTACAAATTCTGGATAAATCCCATTTTCCTTCATATTCCTTCTCTCCAATCCCAAAATTGGATCAGGATTCCAGCCACAAACTCTGCATAAATCCCATTTTCCTTCATTTTCCTCACTCCAATCCCAATATTGGATCTGGATTCCTGCTACAAATTCTGGATAAATCCCATTTTCCTTCATATTCCTTCTCTCCAATCCCAAAATCAGGTTGGGATTCCACAAACTCTGCATAAATTCCATTTTCCTTCATGTTCCACCTCTCCAATCCCAATATTATGTTATATTATTTTATCTTTTCTAATAGTATGTATTATATATTATCATTTTTGCATATTGTATTTTACATAATTTTATATTGACAATATTAATTAAAATATAGATTATTTTATATTAAATATTACTTTTATTGGTTTCTATTTTATAATGTAATACATGCAATATTAGATGTTTTATATATGGCATTTTCTAGTATTTTATATTAATTATATGTATTATATTTTATGTTCTATATCATTATGTTATAGTATTGTATATTATTTTATACTATTATATAAGATTTTCTACATTGCATTTTGTAGCATTTTATATTATTTTATAATATTGTATATGATCTGGTTGGTATTTTATATATTGTATTTTACAGTATTTGATACCATTTTATGTGACATGTTACAGTAATTATATTAATCATCCTTTATTAATTAATTTAGGGCTGCTGAAGTGTCCAAGGCCAGGCTGGACAGGGCTTGGAAGAACCTGGGACATTGGGAATTGTCCCTGACCTGGCAGGGCTGGAATGGGATGAGCCTGAAGGTGTTTCCAACCCAAATATTCCAAATATTATTTATTAATGATCAATACCAGCTCTAACAACAAGGCACACCTTGAAGGGTTTCCATAAATCTAACATTAAATATTATTTGATGTATTTATTGAATTCATTTGTGGGGCTGCTGGAAGATCTCATCCCTCCTGCTCCAATTATCCCAAAATTCCTGAAATCTGCCACAAATTAACCCCAACCTCAACTTTTCAACTCCTGACCAGGTGTAGGCGGAGAATTTTAAGATTTTTTTCCTCAATACATTGCCTAAAATAAAAATTAAACACAAATGACACACACAAAAAAAAAAAAAAAAACCCAGAATTTAAACCCAAATTTAAAAGTGCCAATCCCAGAAGAGCTTTTCCAAGGC